GACCAGATTTAGTGAATGCAGGGTCCGGGGAGACCGGATATAGTGAATGCAGGGTCCGGGGAGACCAGATTTAGTGAATGCAGGGTCCAGGGAGACCGGATATAGTGAATGCAGGGTCCAGGGAGACCGGATATAGTGAATGCAGGGTCCGGGGAGACCAGATATAGTGAATGCAGGGTCCGGGGAGACCAGATTTAGTGAATGCAGGGTCCGGGGAGACCAGATATAGTGAATGCAGGGTCCGGGGAGACCAGATATAGTGAATGCAGGGTCCGGGGAGACCAGATATAGTGAATGCAGGGTCCGGGGAGACCAGATTTAGTGAATGCAGGGTCCGGGGAGACCAGATATAGTGAATGCAGGGTCCGGGGAGAACGGATATAGTGAATGCAGGGTCCGGGGAGACCAGATATAGTGAATGCAGGGTCCTGCGAGACCGGATATAGTGAATGCAGGGTCCGGGGAGACCGGATATAGTGAATGCAGGGTCCTGGGTTTAATAACTCTTTAAACTACTTGCAAAAAGAATACTACAATGGCAATGCATTATGCTAAGCTCTCTACCCATCCTGCCCAACAGGTTATAGTTCAAACACTCCCCTTGCAAGTATAATTTCAAAATTTAGCTTGTAAACAACAGATTTCATGCAATAATGCTGACAGAACTGAAAATGATGTTATGAATTCTAAAGTAGCGTGTAAAAATATACATATATTTTATATGTAAAAAGGAACTCCATAAAGAGTAATTATATTACAAGCTTCCAGCTGAAAAAAAGCTATTTTCTGTGAGTTGTGAACTTTAAAAAGAGGGAGCAACCAATGAAAAAGTATATATATATATATACCTTAGAAATCATAATTGCATAACTTACATAAAGTGCTGTTTTTTTTATTTCTTGGGATATTTGTTACACTTAAATGATCCAGATCATCAAACAAATTTTAATATTACACAAAGATAACCCGAGTAAATATAAAATGCAGTTATTAAATTATTATTTAATTTATTAAGGAAAAAAAGCTGTCCAAACCTGTCTGGCCCTATGTGGAAAAAGTAATTGCCCCCCTATGCTAAATCAAAAATTAATTTTCTTTAACCACATTTTTTTTTTTTTGGAAAGCTGAGTTAAATTTCACAAGCCACACCCAGGCCTTATTGCTGCCAGACCTGTTGAATCAAGAAATCACTTAACTAGAAGATGTTTGACAAAGTGAAGCACGCTAAAAGATCTTAAAAAGCAACACATCTTGCCACAATCTAAAGAAATTCAAGAACACAAGAAGTAATTTACATGTATTAGTCTGGAAAGGGTTACAAAGCCATTTCTAAGGTTTTGGGACTCCAGCAAACCATGGTGAGAGCCAATATCCACAAATAGAGTGTAGCACCCCCTGACTCCCCTGGATGCAGGATAGTACCTCCAAAGGGCAGGGAGCTGGAATTTACCCCAGGGCTGAGTCCATGGCTAGAATGGTCTGGGGCTGTGATGGTCTGGGGCTGTTTTGCAGTTTCTGGACCTGGACAACTTGCCATAATTTATGGAACCATAAAATTCTGCACTCTACCAAAAAATCCCAAAGCACATTTGGGTTATGCAGCAGGACAATGATCCAAAACACGCCAGCAAGTCTACCTCTGAATGCTAAAAAAACTAAATTAAGGTCTTGGAGTGGCCTAGTTAAAGTCTCGACTTAAATCCGATTGAGATACTGGGACATGGCTGTTCAGGCTGGAAAACCCTCCATTGTGGTTGAAATAAAACAATTCTGCAAAGAAGAGTGGGCCAAAATTCCTCCACATTGCCAATTATCGCAAACACTTGATTGCAGTTATTGCTGCCAAGAGTGGCGCAAACAGTTATTAGGTTTATTATTATTATTATACAGAATTTATATAGCGCCAACAGTTTGCACAGCACTTTACAGAATGAAGGAAGACATTACAGTTACAATACAACTTGGTACAAGAGGAAATAGAGGGCCCTGCTCATTAGATCTTACAGTCTAGTGCAGGGGTCTGCAACCTTTAAGACATAAAGAGCCACTTGGACCCGTTTCCGAGAGGGAAAAAAAGACTGGGAGCCGCAAAACCATTGCAACATTTAAAACAAATCCGACACTGCATATATTGCAAAAAGCGCTCTGGTCATGAAGGGGGTTTAAGGGCCCAGTAAGCAAAGGGTTAATCAGGGCCACAGTGTATCGTCATAATCACAATCATAGCCTTAGGTCAGTGGTGGGCAACCTTTTTTTTCAACTGAGCCAAATCTCGCCAAAACCACGATTGAAATTTATTTTGAGAGCCACATTTTTAAAACTGAAAATACATCCCCCATATAGTAATTCATCCCCCATAGTAATTCATCCCCCATAGTAATTCATCCCCCCTATAGTAATTCATCCCCCCTATAGTAATTCATCCCCCCTATAGTAATTCATCCCCCATAGTAATTCATCCCCCATATAGTAATTCATCCCCCATAGTAATTCATCATCCCCCTATAGTAATTCATCCCCCCTATAGTAATTCATCCCCCATAGTAATTCATCCCCCATATAGTAATTCATCCCCCATAGTAATTCATCCCCCATATAGTAATTCATCCCCCATAGTAATTAATCCCCCATATAGTAATTCATCCCCCATAGTAATTCATCCCCCATATAGTAATTCATCCCCCATATAGTAATTCATCCCCCATAGTAATTCATCCCCCATATAGTAATTCATCCCCCCTATAGTAATTCATTCCCCATATTGTGTCAATTCACTTACCTTTGCTCCGCGCGTTCCTCTCGCCGTGTTCCCGCGCCGTTCCGGTCTTCAGGGCGGACTGTCAGAGGAGAGGAGTTAGTCACGCTGCCCCGCCTACATCCTGACAGCCAATGTTTGCCACGCTCCGCGGGCCGGATTAAAAGGTCCGCCGGGCCGTACTTTGCCCATTGCTGGGCTAGCTGCAGAGTCCTGACTTTTGGGGCGGCCGCCCGAGAGGAGGGAGGGGAGCGGGCGCCCGGCACACAGAAGAGCCGCATTAAAATGTGTAAAGAGCTGCGGCTTGCCGACCACTGAGCTACGGCAACCCTTTTGCCTGTCACCTGGTGGGCAGTGTGCTCCGGAGCCGCAGCAAAGGTGAAAAAGAGCCGCATGCAGCTCTGGAGCCGCGGGTTGCCGACACCCGGTCTAGGAGGATGGGTTGAGTGATACAAAAGATAATACCTGTGGGGAGATGAGCTGACATAGAAAATAAATGGCAGTTTACTAGGTAAAAGCAGGATAGGCTTCTTTAAAGAGAGAGGTTTTCAGGGATTATCTAAAGGTGGATAGATTGGGAGATAGTCGGACAGATTGAGGTAGGGAGTTCCATAGGATGGGAGAAGCTTGGGAGAAGTCCTGGATGCAGGTATGGCAGGAGGTGACACAGGAACTAGAGGGCAGAAGGTCTTGGGAGGATCAAAGAGAGCGGTTTGGTTGATATTTTGAGACCAGGTTGGTGATGTAGCTCGGGGAAGAGTTGTGGATGGCTTTGTAAGTTGTCAGTATTTTTAATTTTATTCACTGGGCGAGTGGAAGCCAGTGGAGGGATCGGCAGAGAGGGGTAGCAGACACTGAACGGACGGTAAGGTGGATGAGTCTGGCAGCAGTATTCATGATGGACTGGAGGGGGGATAGCCAATGTAAGCCAATGAGGAGGGAGTTGCAGTAGTCAAGGCGAGAGATAACCAGGGAGTGAATTAGGAGCTTTGTTGTGTCATTGGTTAAAAAGGGGCGTATTCTGGAGATGTTGCAGAAGTTGAGGCGGCATGAATTGGACAGGGATTGGAAGTGCACCTGTAAGGGGGCAATTATTTTTACATATAGAGCCAGGCAGCTTTTTTTCTTAATAAATGAAATCATAATTTTAACCCCTTGCCAACCGGGCACTTTTACCCCCTTCCTGCCCAGGCCAATTTTCACTTTTCAGCGCTGTTGCACTTTCAATGACAATTTCGCTGTCATGCTACACTGTACCCCAAATTTATTTTTTTTCACACAAATAGAGCTTTCTTTTGATGGTATTTATTTGCCACTTGAATTTTTATTTTTTGCACTATAAACAAAAAAAAGAGCAAAAAATTTGAAAGAAAAGGTTTTCTTTGTTTCTATTATAACATTTTGCAAAGAGGTAATTTTCCTCCTTCACTGATGTGCATTGATGAGGCTGCACTGATATGCAGCACTGTTGGGCACTGATAGGCAGTACTGATGGGCACTGATGAGGCGATACTGATAGGTAGTACTGATGGGCACTGATGAGGCAGCACTGGTGGGCATTGATGAGGCGATACTGATAGGTAGTACTGACGGGCACTGATGAGGCAGCACTGGTGGGCATTGATGAGGAGGCACTAATGATGCACTGATATGCAGCACTGATGGGTACTGATAGGCAGTACTGATGGGCGGAACTGAAGGGCAGCACTAACAGATGGCACTGACTGGAGGCACTGACTGGTGGCACTACTGGGTGACACTGCTGGGCACTGCTAGGTGACACTGCTGGGTGACACTGCTGGGCACTGATGAGTGTGAAAATGTACTTGATGATCTGAATCATTTAAGTGTGACAAATTTGCAAAAAAAAAAACATCAGGAAGGGGACAAATAATCTTTCACGGCACTGTATGTATATACACAGCACAGCACATATATATATATATATATTAAAACTAGCTATGAAACAACAGTAGATAAGTAATACAATCAATGTTGCATGTATTAAAAATCAACTCACCCCATATACTAGATATCTCTATTAACAAACACCGTGCTCCAAACAGGTAGAAAAAAATGGCATAAATAAATGACAATTAATTCATCAGAATTCATCTTTTAGTAACCTAATATCAATACACAGGAATATGATTGGTTGGTTTGGGTTCCTGCAGCATCATCATGATCTTTTAAAAAAAATGTCATTATTTTCTTTTCTCTTTTGACCTATTAGGGCGAGGCGAGAATGATGAAGGACGGAAATGTTTTCCGGGTGGTTCAGTCCAACTGCTGGAATCCTGAAGTGAGATTAAAAGAGATGGATCAGTCAGGTAGGTGAAGTATAAGTATTTGTACCTTCTACAATGTAATGGCCTTGGTTCATCAAGCTGCAATTTAAAAATATATATATATTTTGATAGTAAACGGGTTATTTGTACAACAGACTAAAAAAAGGCTAGCTCTTTCCCCTTCTCCTACAAATTATTTTTCTTTCTTTACATTGTCTTCACACTCTACCCTCTCAGCCCATATAAGAGGCTGAAATGTGTAGCTGAGTGTCGGAATAATGCAGCTCCATTTCACAGGCACAGAAATTGCAGCATCAATGACCACCCAACAAGCGAATAAGGCATATGCTGGGTGTGGAAGAATTGTCAGGGAGGATGGCAGCAACAAAAACCAAGAGCTGATGAAAAATACAGACGTGATTGGCAGAACACAGCAAATTCCGAGGTTATTTTGCTATGATAATGCAAGTATGCTGTGCACTACCAGTGGAATCTACAGGATATAGCAGTAGTACAGCATCCAGCTGGGGAGCATCTGACACACCAGGAAGTGTCAGATGCAAATTCTTTGGTAAGCTTAGCTGTTCAAGAGAGTGAAGATAGGAGGAAGCATAGATCCACTTGTGCAGGTAGTAATGATAGAGGGGATGACAGAGAGGCATTAGGAGAGGTGGAGAAATGGCAGCAGAGCACGGAAGAAGAACCAGGAGGCAGCACATTTGTGAAATCACCATCTATCATTACAGTGTTCAGGAAATCATACTAATTATTGTTATAATAGCAATCAGAGGCAGGAGTGGGAGGGATCTGCCTTAGATGATCTCACACTGCAGATACTGTATACAGATGTAATGATGTATGAGCACTGCGCTGTCCATGAGCCCAGAACAGTGTGGTGACATGGGGTATGTCCATGACAGCGGGTGTGTCCATGACAGTCTGGGCCTAGCCCACAGGAAGTTGAATGTATGACACTGGGCATCATTCAACCCAGAAGAGGATGGTGTTGGATCGCAGAATGGGGAGTCTTGGTAGGATAGCTTTGGAAAGCAGGTGAGTCTTACCATGGGGGTTGCTTTTTTTTTAATTTTCATACACTCTGGCCATGGTTTTTCAATTTATTTGAAAAAGGTGTCATCAGGCTTTAAAGTGGTTCTAAAGCCTAAAGAATTTTTACATGAAAACATTCTCTGCATTAAGGTAAAAAAGCTTCAGTGTGCTGTTCATACTTACCTGAGCCCGTTCTCGATCCAGTGCTGTGCATTGTCTCTCTCAGCTCTCTCTCTCCTCACTGGACAGAGAGGCAGCAGCAAGAGCCATTGGCTCTTGCTGCTGTATATCACAGTCAATGAAGGGTGAGAGCTCGGCAGGGGCGAGCTGCGCTCTGTGTGTTAATGGACAGTGAGCACACGTGAGTACCTCCATAGCAAGCCTCTGGGAGAGTGAGCGGACTGTGCCGGCGGGGGACCCCAGAAGAGGAGGATTGGAGCTGCTCTGAGCAAATCATTACACAGAGCATGTAAGTATAACATGTTTGTTTTTTTAAATAATAAAATGCAATGCTTTACAATCACTTTAAATATGTATTTGTAAAATAAGGATTTTATATACACCGTTTCAGCAGAAAAAAAATAGGGACTTTCTAGGGTGGCAGACAAGGACATTTATTTTTATGTGTTGAAATTTTGGCCTTGGGTGCCATCCTAGAAAGTCCCTTGTTCTTTTTCTGTTGTATTTATTTGCTTGTTTGAGATGACGACATACCAAGATGTTAGCCCAGGGTCATCCTGCCTCTCTCCCTTCTATTTTGAAACCGTTTTTTACAGATAGAATCTTAGAAAATTTGTTTTTATCAATGTTTAAACTAATGTAAAAGTAAAGTACATAATACATGCTTACACACAGTTCAGTACAGCACAGCAGGGTATGGCATAGACCGCATGGCATAGACCAGTGGTCTCCAAACTGTGGCCCGAGGGCCAGATGCGGCCCTTTGCTTGCTTTTATCTGGCCCTTGGGGCACTATTTCATCAAATGATAAAAACAATGGGGCATAATTCCCCCCACTGACACCAAGGATGGGGCACAGTTCCTCCCAATGATACAATGGGGTCCAATTACACAAATGATGGGGCACATTTCCTTCCACTGAAACCAATGATGGGGCACAATTCCTCCTACTGACACCAACAATGGGGCCCAATGACCCTACTGATGGGGCACAATTCCTCTCACTGCCACCAAGGATGGGGCACAATTTCTCCCAATGACACCAACAATGGGGCCCAATGACCCCACTGATGGGGCACAATTCCTCCCACTGACCCCACGGATGGAGCACAATTCATCCCACTGACATCAAAGATGGGGCATTGTTTTTTCCCCACTGACATCGGGACCTTTTCTACTCCCACAGTCTGGCCCCCCCTGCAATCTGAAGTACAGTAAAATAGCCCTTTGTTTAGAAAGTTTGGAGACCCCTGGCATAGACTCTTACCTATGCTAATTTATAGCTGACATCTTAAGTTGGCCATGCACTGTACAACCTGATTATACAATCTCTGTACAATCTCCCTTAGATCTACCATAACTATGCAATATGAAGAGTCACCAAAACAATTTATTTAATTTGTATTATGTCAGACAGGCACTTACATTGCATAGTTGATAGTGGATCTAAAGGAGATTGTACAATCAGATTGTATTGTAGGCCAGCCCAGGATACCTCTTCCTATTGCCAGCATGCTTCAGCATTTTGCTAGTGTCTTAGGAGAATGCATGTTTTTTTTCCTCAGCTCTGCAGTGTGAAAGTCTGATTTATTTACTAGCATGTTTTCCTTCTTTGATTTTTTTCTTAAATCAAGACTCTTTTCTACATCTCCTTCCGGAGCTTTATTGCATGGTCATCCTTGGCATGGCTTAGCTGGACTGGATGTTGCAGGGATATCGTAGAAGTGACCTTCGGGCACTGGGCTCTACAATGGGTGCTTTCCAGACTCCATTATGGTGAAAGTTAGCTACGGAGCCCTTTCCAGATCCAGAGCCCCTGGGATTGCCTCAACATTTGCCCTGTCTCTAAATATTAGGCATGTCAGTTGGGTCAAACATATCAGGAGATAACTCATTTACTTAGGTTGCTGGGCACATTCTCTCTATGCGCTCTGTCCTACCATACAGCGTTGAGGAAGCATCTTCATCTTCTTCCATGCTATAACTCCCATTTTGCAAAGAGCCAAGTGGAACTTCAATCTTCGGTCTGTTCTGACCCTTATCTTCTACCGGCTGTTCAGGTTTCATGAGTACATGAGCCCTTGCCTCTTACCCTAACCCTTTATGTTGTCTTACTGCCATGCTGTTGCAACATGTTTGTTTCTACAAATGGAACAGTCCCACTGTACTGGGTGCCCCCAGCTTAGAACACCTACTGATGTAGACTTCTGCAGCCTAGAGTCATGCTATTCTTACCTCTTAGAGTCTATTCCATCCTCTAAGTCCTCATTGTCTTTGTTGGGTGCAGCTAGAGTTTTTTTTTTATAGGGTCATGCAAGACTTTCTGGCCCAAATCACACAAAATCAAACTCTGTCTGACTGGTCAAAATTCCTTAAAAGAGATGTAACCACTGACTGATCACTCCAATGCTAAATTTTGTTGTGTTGATCTGCTGGAAGCCTCATGTCTCATTTCTCGTATTGTCCTATAATAGTGCATATGGGTAGAACACTTATCTAAAACTCTTATGACTGCAAAGTCTTCTCCCCCTTTCACTGTTAGGTAACCCCTTTTGTTTCTTCAGTCTCTCAACCTCTACATTGAGATTCCCCCCAAGCTTGGCTCCCTACCCTGTCCAAATCCTTAAAGAAGTATTCCTTTGCATGAAGGTGCTTCCTCACATTCCAGACTGGGGGGACATTTGTAAACTTTACAGATGCTTGGAAAGCTTGCATCTCTTTGGTGCAGGATGGTGTATCCCTCAGCTACGAACTGGAGTTTCATTCCTTGCTCCCTCCTTGGATTTACACCTCCAACCTCCCTGTATCAGCACACAAATTAGCAGATCTCCATCAAGGAATACGGAGGTGAGCATCTCAGAATCTCTGATTCCTATGATGCTAAAAATGGAAAGTCTACTTCTTGTAAGGTCTACCATCAGACCTGGAAGGCAGACTTCAACTAATTTGAGTCTTAGGACTTCTACCTCAGCAGTTAACCCTTGAACGAATCCTCTCCTCCTTGCATCAGGGTCTGGACCTGTGTTTGGCTCTCTGCACTATGCAGGTTTCTACTCTTTCTATTCTGTTTTAGAGACCATTGACCTTGATTAAAACCTTTGTACAAGGAGCTTCCCACGAAGCTCCTCCATGTAAATCTGCATATTATAAATTGACATTTGAACCCGTTGAAGACATTCCTCTCTCTACTTTCACCCATAAGGTAGTGTTCCTTAAAGCCATCGCTCCTGCAAAGTGAGTGTCTGAACTGAGGACCTTATCCTGCAAGGAACCCTTTCTGGTTTTGCATAAGGACAAGGTGGTGATAAGTTCCAGAACTTCCTTTTTTGCCTAAGGTATTTTTGCCTTAGGCCTCAGCCAGGACATTGTTTTCCAGTTCCTCCTCTTCCTGTTCACCAAAAGAAAATTTCCCTCCATTGTACCGGATGTGGTTATCTTTCAGTCACTGCTTCTTTCAGGAAGACTGATTCCTTTTTGTCATCCTGGATAGACCCCAAAATGCTGCCTCAACTTTTGGTTCCACAATCTTTAGGTGGCACAGGCAAACCATTAGGTTCCACCCTTTCCTATGAAGGCATGCTGTACCAGATCTGTGAGTGCTTCTCAGACTTTTTGGTATCAAGCATCTGTTCCCCAGATTTGCAAAAGCTACTACCTGGTCTTGTGTCCATACATTCTGTAAGCAAGCTCTGTCAGGTGGACATTTCGACATCACCTGATGCCATCTTCAGCTGTAAGTTCCTTCTGGTAACTCTTTGAACTACAAGCAGTCCCCAGATTTTGTGCTGTTTTTTTTTTTTCGGGGGGGGGGGGGGCAGTTTGCAGTTGTTTGCTGTGTTGCTCACCCCTCAGTTGGATTCCTTTTGGACATTGTGATGTTTAAAGTGGTTCTAAAGCCTTGGTTTTTTTCTTCTAATAAACACAGTATAGTTACCTGCTCTGTGCAATGGTTTTGCACAGAGCAGCCCTGATCCTCTTCTTCTGCGGTCTCCTGACAATGCTTCTAGCCCCTCCCCCTTGCCGAGTGCCCCTAGAGCAATCTGCTTGCTCTGATGGCACTTGTGTGTGCTCGCTCCCAAGCCGCCTATGTGTGTCTGTGGAACACTAAGAGCATGGTTCAGTCCCGCCACCAGCTCCCTCCTCACTGGCCGTGATTAAGTGGGAGCCAATCAAGAGAGAGAGTCCCTTGGAGTGTTTCTGCTCTCATGCACATCGTTGAATTGGGAATGGGCTCTGGTAAATATTGGAGGAGCTGCACCCTGAAGGTTATTTTACCTTCATGCATAGAATAAATGAAGGAAAAAACACATCATCCTTTAGAACCACTTTAAAGACTTTTGTGTCCCTCAATGAATGGAAGATGAAATAGGATTTTTGTACCAATGATAAAATCCTTTACTTGAAGTCCATTGAGGGACACAGGTCCCTTACCTTTGTGTTTATTTAATGTATTCTCTAACTGTTTTGTTTCAAAACTGAAGAATGCTGGTAACAGCCCGAGGGCCCGGGGTCAGTGGGGGGACCCATAAAATGCCCCTGGTACCTTTCATAGGCTTTTTTGGGTGGAGTTTGAGCGTGGGTGTGAGGACACAGGGGCCCCGTGATCCCCTATTGCCCAGGGGCCCCATGAGTTGTCAGTCTGCCGCTGCAGGAGGGGTTATACTTAACTGGCTTACAGCTCTTTTGTTTGCCAATGTCTAGTCCTCCTGCAGGTGGCAGTGTAACCCAAAGGTAAAGCTTCCCTGTGTCCCTCAATGGATTCCAAGAAAAAGATATTTCAGTGAATACAACATTCCTATCATTGGGAATGAGAAATTATATCAGTGATGGCTAATTACATATAAAGTAAGACAAATACTTTTTCTCATGCAGGAGTAACAGTGCAGGCTCTCTCCACAGTGCCGGTAATGTTCAGTTATTGGGTATGTATAATTATATTTTAATATATTAAAGTGCAACTTTTGTGATAGATTGCAATCTATAAAGAGTGCAGTAATATATTTTGTAATTAGAATTCAGTATTACCTTGTCAGTAGTGTTTAAGTCCAACATAAGTTCTACTCGAACATCAGCCGTTCCATCGGCGAACACACGAACGGCAAAGGCATTTGGCAGGCTATTCGCCTGCCGCGCCCCACAATGCACAGCGCCTTGACAGTGCATTGTGATTGGCCAAAGCAATGCACTTGACCACAGGTCAGGTGCGATGCTTTGGCCAGTCACAGCACATGATGATATCACAAGTGGGAGGGGTGACCCTGACCCCTTGTGACATCATCACACTATTTAAGAACTGTCATCCCGGTGCAGCTGTCAGACGGCGAAAGCCAGCGTTGAGAGCGGAGTGTTTTTTTTTTTTTTTTTTTTTGGCTCGGCGGGCATTGTGATTGACGTTGCATCGACTTTGGGACATTTTTTTATTTTTGTTTTTAATAAAGGACTTGTCAAAGACTGTCTACTGTCATTTTTACATTACATTTTTTTTTTCTGGGGGGGTGGGATCTGGGGGTCCCCTTGTTAAATGGGGCTTCCAGATTCCGATAACCCCCTGCCCGCAGACCCCCACAGCCGCCAGCCACGGTTGTGGGGAAGGGACCCTAGTCCCCATCAACATGGGGACAAGGTGCTTTGGGGGGGAGCCCCCCTGCCCCAGAGCGGGGCCAGGATCTGGGGGTCCCCTTGTTAAAGGGGACTTCCAGATTCCGATAACCCCCATTCCCGCAGACCCCCACAACCACCCGCCATGGTTGTGGGGAAGGGACCCTTGTCCCCATCAACATGGGGACAAGGTGCTTTGTGGGGTGCCCCCCCTGCCCCAAAGCACCTTCCCATGTTGAGGGCACGTTTTCTGGTATGGACTCTCGCTTGTTCCCCCCCCTTTTCTGAGCATGGGTCTGGAATGGATTTTGGGGGGACCCCCACCCCATTTTTTTAAGTTTTGGCATGGGGGTTCCCCTCAAAATCAATACCAGACTCGAAGGGCTTGTTATGGATGGGGGGGACCCCACGTGTTTAAAAAAAGAATAATTAATCGTCGGGTAATGCTGGCAATTCTTTTTACATTGAACTGTCCGTGAGGAATCCCGCTGACAGCTGAAACATCAAAGAATGTCTTCACTACTACAATACCGCATGACTTAATAATATAACTCATGCCACATTTTGGTAGCTGTGCGGTATCCTACCACATACTCAGACGCGGTAAGATATTGCTTAGTGAATTGTCCTCTCTGTTCGAAGTTTGCTGTCAAACTTTCGTTAGGTTCGAATGTTTGACCGCAAACTGAACAGGGGCTCATTTGGCCCATCACTATTCGTCAGTACAGACTTCTGAAGTATCCATTGTGGCACCTCTAATAGGTGCTGGCATTGCATTTTGGGATGCAGGGATCATGCCCAAAGTCAGGGATTTTCTTAGAAGCTCAGAAGCCTCTATGGGATATAGGACCATGCTGATGTTTTTATATTCATCTTAGTTTTAGGAAGTTTTATGTTTCAGAACATGCTATGGATTTCTGAGCTTCCTTTCTCCTAATGTACATAAAATGTTCATATTACAAGAAGATAGTTAGAGAAGATGGATTAAAGTGTGTGCAAAGTGTTCATCTAAATGTTGTCATCGCTCACCAGAAAGTATAAAAAAAAGTAACACTACAGTTCAAAAAATCAATGTGTCCAGTTCAAGCAGCAAACATAGCTGCATATGTATTAGGGCTCGTTCACACTTGACTTTTTTTCCAACTCTTGCCAAATGCCCCTATAGCAATGGACAAGCATTGGTCCAGCGTTTGCGATGCGTTTTCAACGTGCCGCAAACGCTGCAAAAACACTGCATGCGCGGTTTAGCAGGGGTTGCTATGGCGTTTGCCAAGCGTTAAAAACGCCCCACAAACGCCTATAATGAAGTTTGAATGGTGTTACCGCTCCGCAAACTCCTCGCAACCGCGTTGCGGAGCAGCACCATAGATTTGAATAGGAGGCTTCAACTCCTCCTGACCCGACCAGAGGCGTCCGTTTTGCTGCGATGCCAACGCTCCCGTGTGAACAGTACCATGTACTGCAATGTGCAGAATTTTCCGAGGTGTTTGGAAAACGGTAAAAAAAAAAACGCTTCCCAAACGCCTGTCTGCCGCTTGCTAACAAGGCTAGTGTGAACGTAGCCTTAGAAGGTCATGGCATTCACTTTCTATGAGTTGATCCATAATACATATAATGTCCTTCTTACAGTTCCCAAACCCAGATCACAATCCACAAGGTAGGGTTTGGAGTGGCTAGAGAGGAAGGTATTTATTCTGCTGAAACCCTGGCTATTGGTATCATGACAGATTTCAGTACAGATGGTAAAAAGCCATAGATAGTTTGGTGTTAGATGTGGTCACTGCATTAGTTTTCTTTATTTTTTTTTTGGCTAGTAACACACCTCCTGTATTAGAGCGCCCCCACGCTGGATGAAGGAGCACAGGAGACACAGTTTGGACAGCAGCATTTTCAGTCTGGGGAGAAGGGAGTGCTATATTAAAAAAATATATCTTACCACTCCTTAGATTTGGTGGCTGCTTTAGTTTTCTGTTTTTGGGGGGTTTTCCCCTTATTTTCAACTCGAGATCCGGCCAGTGATACACCTCTTGTCTTAGGGTGGCTGCGTTATCTTTGGAGGAAGGTCATGTAGCCACACTTGGACAGGAGCATGCTCTGTAGAGGGTCATGTTGGATGGACTAGCAAACTGAGGTGAACTTAACTAACAAAAAAAAAAAATGAAATCCAGCTAATGCTTTTTAAAGTGGGAATATACCCCAAACCAAACATGTCATATATTGCAGCTTACCAATCATTAGATGTGGTGGCTGTATTAGTTTTCTTTTCTTAGGTTTTTTTTTTCCCTCTCTTTTCACCTGGTGATCTGGCCAGTAACACATTACCTGTATCAGAGTGCCCCCATCTCGGGATGAAGCAGCAGAGGGGGAACCTTTGGTCAGCAGCATTGTTAGTCTGGGGGGAGGGTAATGTTAGATGTACTAGCAGATTTAGATACACTAACAAATTGAAGCCAAACTCCAGCTCACACTTTTTAAGCAGTTACAGCAAACTTTTTTGTTCTATTTGGGATAAAGGTTTTACATACATAACTACATATAAGCTGATCATTGTAAACACCCTGTTCCATGGTTTGTCTCAAATCTCTAACTGCTACATCTACAGGACAGCTTGTTCTGTTGAAAAAACAACAGACTTACTGGCCGGATCACCAGAAATAAAAAAAAAAAAAAGGAATGCTCAATGAAAGAAAACCAATGCAGCCATCACCTCTAATAAATGGTAAGCTGTAATGTAATAAATGTTTGGATTTAATGCTTCTTTAACTTCTATTTGGTGCTCAGATATAGAGGTTTCTTCTCACTTCCTGATCAGCAGACAACAGATTCCCCAGACAGGAAGTGGGATAAATTTTCAAACGCAAGATTGACAGAATAATATTATATATATATATAAATTTTTTTATTTTTTTATTATTATTATTATATTTATTTATTTATTTTTATATAGTTATTTATTTCTTCTTTTTTTTTTCCTTTTTTATTTCTGTCTTTTTCATGGCTGCAAATTTTCCCTCATTTCCTCTCTATGGCAATCATTGTCACTAGGACAGAAAGTAAGAGAAAAAAAGATTTGGCTAGATATACATGTTTTAAAGATGAGCATCAAAGGACTAAGAAAGGAAAAATACTTGTATCATGCGGTATTGCAACCTTACCTTCTAACATTGTGAGTTCTCTCGACACAGGCCAAGCCCCAGGACACCCTGGATCTGTCTCGGTTCCTCAATGATGACTTGGCGGCTGTGGTTCAGAAGTATCCAAAGAGATTTGTGGGTCTGGGTACACTCCCTATGCAGAGTCCTGAGCTGGCAGTACAGGAGATGCATCGCTGTGTAAAAGAACTGGGGTTCCCTGGGGTACAGATTGGATCCCATGTTAATCAGTGGGACCTGAATTCACCTGAACTGTATCCAATTTATGCGGTACGTACAGCCCGGAATCATACCCATCGTGGCTTTTTTTGGACAAGCACCACTTATGTACACGTGTCACCTTTACAAGGACTTCAACTGTAGCCCATAGCAGAGGCATCCCTAGGGTTGGTGTCACGCGGTGCGATAACACTTGGTGACACCCCCTCCAATGATCCCCGTAGAATGGATCAGATCTGCGGATTGACCATAATGGATCAGACTTCGATCCATTATGCTCAATCCACAGATCCGATCCATCCTGCGGGGATTGTCGGCTTACTTTACAAATTATCTTTTCTTGGAGCGGGTCCGGTGTCACCCCGTATAGCTTGCATGCCGACGATCATCGCAGGATGGTTCGGATCTGTGGATTGAGCATAATGGATTGGAGTCCGATCCATTGTGCTCCCCAATCCGCGGATACGATTGTTGGCATGCAACCTATTTGGTGTGATACCGGACCAGGGGCGGACTGACCATTTGGAAACTCAGGCACTGCCTGATGGCCCGGGGTCAGCAGGGGGCCCCATTAGATGCCCCTGGTACCTTTTTGATAGGCTTTTTTGAATTTGGGCAAGGACACAGGGGCCCCGTGATCCCCTTTTGCCTGGGGGCCCCATGAGTTGTCTGTCCGCCCCTGCACCAGACCCGCTCCAAGAAAAGGTAAGTTGTAAAGAAAGCCGACGATCCCCGCAGGATGGATTGGATCCATCCTGCAGGGATCGTCGGCTTGTTTTACAACTTACCTTTTCATGGAGTGGGTCCAGTGTCACCCCGTGTGGTCGGTGTCACCCGGTGCGGGCCACATCCCCCACACCTGCCTCGGGACGCCACTGGGCCATAGTTCTGGCAAGACTTTTTGATCTTCCAGTCCACAAATACAGGCTCCATTTTACTGATCTCTGCACATTGGGTGTTAAAAAGCTTGAGGTATCGCCTTTCACTGATCCCATCACATCAAATTTTGTATCACTGCCATATCTTTTAAAATGGTTGTAAACCTTGGACATGGAATATGAACAAAGCCTATCCCTCTATAGTGTGTATTTGTCTCAATTAAGAGCACTAAGTGTCATTTCTGTCTGTTGATTTGTTCCTCTGCTATCAGCATGAATCACTTCTGACAAGTTTTCTTGACACCCAGAGAAAAATGGTGACAGAGGAGTGGCCTCCAGTAGAGTGACAGCCTCAGCTCTGTTCCTGTGAGCTGTGTGAAAGGGGTGTGTGTCTCTTCCCTCCAATCAGCTCTCAGATCTCTCCTCAGTGATCTCTCAGTGAGTGTAATTTCAGTTCTCGCCCCCCCCCCCCCCCCCTTTTGACAGCTCTGCAAGCTTTATAATTTCAGCATTTTGAACAGATGTACAGAAGAGAATATTGCAGATAAATAGTTACAACTTACAGTGGGGTCGAAAGTTTGGGCACCCCAGCTAAAAATTTGTATTAACCTCCTTGGCGGTATGATCATGTCAGGAATTTTGTGCTGAAAGCGGTACCATTTTTTTTGCATGGAAATATGTAGTTTTTAATTGTAGGCTGTAATTTTTAGGAATAACTCACTGAAATCTGTCCGAACAAGAGTCTATTAAACATTCCGGATATGATAAAACTTGAAACACAAAATCATAAATTATAATTTAATTAATAATCATAAAAAATAATAATATAATAATAATCAATTTAATTCAATAATATAATCAAACCAAAAACACTGAAATTTGAAATACAGAGGCAAATTCGCACATCGCTGAGCAAAGTCGCAAAATCGTTTTCAGTGTCTGATGACGAATTTCCCCACAAATCATTATCACTCAATTCTGCAAGTGGTTCTGATTTACTATCGCTGTTCTAAAACCGCTTTTGATGTAAAGGGACGCTTTTTGGCCGCCATGGACTTTTCTAAGTTTCCAGGCAGAAAGAACAGTCAAAATGCAGGCAGGGCACAGGACAAAGCAGTAGGGACAAAATGTATGTGAAATGCAGTGAAAAAGCAATGACAGCAAAAATGTCATTTTTTAAAAATTTCAAATTTCCCGCCGGTTCCGCCGCCCGAACGTTCCGACGTCACGGGGACCGGAACACGGAAGTCAGATGCCGGCATCCGCCGGAGGAGATGGACGGGGACGCTGCAGGGGACACATCGTGGGAGCGAAGGACAAGGTAAGTGCTGCAGGGACCCCCAGAGAACGCTGCATGGTAAGCCCGAGTGTAGCTCGGGGTTACCGTTCTTGGTATAGAAATTCTACCCCGAGCTACACTCGGGAAAACCGCTAAGGAGGTTAATGTGCATAAAGAAGCCAAGGAAAGATGGAAAAATCTCCAAAAGACATCAAATTACAGATTCTTATAATATGTCAACAAAAGTTAGATTTTATTTCCATCATTTACACTTTCAAAATAACAGAAAACAAAAAAATGGCGTCTGCAAAAGTTTGGGCACCCTGCAGAATTTATAGCATGCACTGCCCCCTTTGCCAAGCTGAGACCTGCCAGTGTCATGGATTGTTCTCTATCATCGTCTGGGAAGACCAGGTGATGTCAATCTCAAAAGTTTTAAATGCCCAGACTCATCTGACCTTGCCCCAACAATCAGCACCATGGGTTCTTCTAAGCAGTTGTCTAGAAAACTGAAACTGAAAATAGTTGACGCTCACAAAGCTGGAGAAGGCTATAAGAAGATAGCAAAGCGTTTTCAGATGTCAATATCCTCTGTTCGGAATGTAATTAAGAAATGGCAGTCATCAGGAACAGTGGAAGTTAAAGCAAGATCTGGAAGACCAAGAAAAATATCAGACAGAACAGCTCGCAGGATTGTGAGAAAAACAATTCAAAACCCACGTTTGACTGCACGATCCCTCCAGAAAGATCTGGCAGACACTGGAGTTGTGGTACACTATTCCACTATAAAGAGATACTTGTACAAATATGGTCTTCATGGAAGAGTCATCAGAAGAAAACCTCTTACGTCCTCACCACAAAAATCATCGTTTGAACATATAGACAAGCCTGATGCATTTTGGAAACAAGTTCTGTGGACCGATGAGGTTAAAATTGAACTTTTTGGCCGGAATGAGCAAAGGTACGTTTGGAGAAGAAGGGGCACAGAATTTAATGAAAAGAACCTCTGTCCAACTGTTAAGCATGGGTTGGATCAATCATGCTTTGGGGTTGTGTTGCAGCCAGTGGCACAGGGAACATCTCACGAGTAGAAGGAAAAATGGATTCAATAAAATTTCAGCAAATTTTGGATGGTAACTTGATGCATCTGTGAAAAAGCTGAAGTTAAAGAGAGGATGGCTTCTACAAATGGATAATGATCCTAAACACACCTCGAAATCCACGGGAGATTACATCAAGAGGCGTAAACTGAAGGTTTTGCCATGGCCTTCACAATCTCCTGACCTCAACATAATTGAAAATCTATGGATAGACCTTAAAAGAGCAGTGCGTGACAGACAGCCCATAAATCTCAAAGAACTGGAAGGCTTTTGTATGGAAGAATGGGCAAAGATACCTCAAACAAGAATTGAAAGACTCTTGGCTGGCTACAAAAAGCGTTTAAAAGCTGTGATACTTGCCAAAGGGGGCAGTACAAGATATTAACTCTGCAGGGTGCCCAAACTTTTGCAGACGCCATTTTTTTGTTTTCTGTTATTTTGAAAGTGTAAATGATGGAAATAAAATCTAACTTTTGTTGACATATTATAAGAATGTCTAATCTGTAATTTGATGCCTTTTGGAGATTTTTCCATCTTTCCTTGGCTTCTTTATGCACATTAATACAAATTTTTAGCTGGGGTGCCCAAACTTTCGATCCCCACTGTATGTAGGAGGATTTGTTTCATCTCTGTGTATCACAGTTGTGCCTGTAGTTCTACTTTAATGAGTTCTAAATCAAGTCCCCAGTGACCTCTGTAGCTGCAGGAACTTATGAGTACTTCATCCTTAAAGTATGACTAAAGGCTAAACATTTGTCAGTTTTGGATAGAGTGAAGAGGGATTAGAACACCTGTTGAGTATTTATTGCTATCTGTGCCCACTAGGGAGATTCACCCTCTCTATTTGTCCTCTATTTGTCCATTATCATCACCATCATAATAAAAAGTGAAAGAGAAAAAAAACCCCTAAAATTTTGGATGGTCTTCAGCACAGTAATAGAGGGGAAATCTACCAATGGGGACAGTTCTGGTAAACCTGGTGAAAACCAGAGATTTCTTCACTTTGAAGAGACTTCCTGTTTTAACTATGGGACATCTCCTCAATAGGACACAGATGTCAAAAAAACATCCTGTTGGGGTTACAATCCTCCTTTACTCTATCCAAAATGAAAGAAAAAGTTTTGCCTTTAGTTCTACTTAAAGTTTACATCAGAAGCAGATTCAGTTTCGTCACATCCCCACCCCCTGCCTGCTGGAGCTGAGAAAAAGCTTTTGATCTGTGTGCTTTAGAAAGCTGTAGAGAAGAGAGATGCAGATAAAGAGGTACAACTTAGGAGGATTTGTTTCGTCTCTGTGTATCACCTGATACCAGTCACTTCACTGGGTATATGTAAGGGTTTTCAACCACTTTAAGTTCAAAAACATCAGTTGGCTACCAGTTTTTCAATGTTACCTATGACCCAAAGCCTTTCCAAAGGATATATTCAGGGCCTGGTTTGTCTGTCAGAGGATTTATCATTCTTTTCAGGCAATCTAGTGATCCAGGTACCTCTGGCAGTAAGCAAAGCTTCACTTAGTCAAGAACACCCCCCACAGCTTTTTGATTGGACAATGAAGGAGCAACAGTACACTGATGAGGTCATCCCTCTGTTCACACCTCCTGTTATCATGTCCACTGTAGCAGGACCTCATTGGCTCCGAGTGCTAACCCTCCCTAACCCATTGTTTTAATTGTCTCCCAAAACAGTTGCATTCAAAGCATGCTGTGAATGATAATTGTCGCAGTTGCTTTTGCTTTCAACCAAACTGTCAATCCATTAAATGGATGGTGTGCAGGGGCGGACTGACAACTCAGGGGGCCCCCGGGCGATAGGGGATCATGGGGCCCCTGTGTCCTTGCCCAAACTCAAAAAAGCCTATGAAAAAGGTACCAGGGACATCTCATAGGGCCCCCTACTGACCCCGGGCCCTCGGTGGTGTCAGTATACCACTGAAGAATAACATGATACAATGCAATACAACACAGAAAATATGGGACAGAACAATCTCCCTATCTGCTTTTGAAGTGTTGCTACAAGAATTGGACTCTTTGTCAATTATCATTGACTGTTTTATACCTAATATATTAGTAATCTCCTTCATATGATAAACTGGGGGAAACAACCACACATAATGTGCTCACACAGCTACAGGCAATGTAATAACAAGTGTCTGTAACATTCTTTCAGGCAGCTGAAGACTTAAACTGCTCCATATTTGTGCACCCATGGGACATGGCAACCAGTGGCAGGATGGAAAAGTACTGGCTTCCCTGGCTGGTGGGTTAGTAATGGTATTATACATTTCTTGGTACAATGTGTTATCAAATGTCAAGTGAATTACAGTGGGGAAAATAATTATAAAATTCCCCTGTAGATTTTGTAAGTTTGCCCACTTACAGAGAAATGAAGGGTCTATCATTTTTATCATAGGTGTATTTTAAATGACAGAGACAGAATATTAACCAAAAATCCAGAAAAAAACACATAATACAAATGTTATAAAGTGGGTTGCAGTTCAGTGAGTAAAATAAGTATTTGAACCCCAAGCAAAACGTGACTTAGTACTTGGTGGAGAAACCCTTGTTGGCAAACAGAGGTAAAAATTTTTGTAGTTGGTTCCCAGGATTGCACACATCTCGTGAGGGATTTTGGTCCACTTTTCTTTACAGATCTTCTCTAAATCCTTAAGGTTTCAAGGCTGTCACTTGGCAACTGGAAGTTTCAGCTCTCCCCATAAATATTCTATAGGATTAATGTCTGGAGACTGGCTAGGCCACACCATGAATATGCTTCTTCTTGAGCCACTCCTTTGTTGTCTTGGGGGTATGTTTTGGGTCATTATCATGCTAGAAGATCCATCCAGGACTCATCTTCAGTGTTCTGGTTGAGGGGAGAAGGTTCTCATCCAAGACTTTACAATACATGGCCCTGTCCATTGGCCCCTCAATGTGACAAAGTCAGCCTGTACTTTTAGCAGAGAAAATGCCCCAAAGTATAATGTTTCCACCTCCGTGCTTCACTGTACAGATGGTGTTCTTAGGGTCATAGTCAGCATTTTTCTTCCTCCAAACAGGGCAAGTCGAGTTAATACCAAAAAGCTTAATTTTGGTCTCATCTGAAAACAGCTCTTTCTCCCAATGAGGGGGACCTTGCGGGATTTCAATCCATGGCGGCAATTGTGTTAGCAATGGTTTGTTTGGTGACTGTGGTCCCAACTGCCGTGAGATCATTCACAAGCTCCACCCATGTAATTCTGGGCTGGTCCCTCACTTTTCTCATGATCATCCTCACCCCATGAGGTGAAATCTTCCATGGAAATTCAGACTGAGGGCAATTGATGGTTATTTTGTATTTCTTCCATTTGCAAATGATCGCTCCATCAGGACAAGTCCTGGGACTGTGGGGGGAATTTGGGGCTTGTCCTGGTGATCATATCTTGACTGAACAAGCTGAATGGTTCTTGGTCATTTCCCTTGGTATATCTTGGACAAGAAGCGTATCCCTGACTATGCATTGGAATATGTTGTACTTTTATGTCACAATTTTCTACCTTTTGGTGTCATTTTATTGACCTATTTTTTGTTCTTTTTTTACTATGTTTGTAATAAAGATTGACATTGCCTTTCTACATTTATTTATTTATTTTATTGCATCTAATCCCTTGGGGGATTTTCCATTTCTATAGTGATAAATATATTTTCATTACTGTTTTTAAGGCATGCCAGCGGAAACAACCATCGCCATTTGCAGTATGATTATGGGTGGAATATTCGAAAAGTTCCCCAAACTTAAGGTTTGCTTTGCTCATGGAGGTACGAGGTTTATTCATTTTTTACATGGTTCCTATAATAATGGTTGTTTATAATCCTTGTTTTTCTAAGGTTAGGCAATTGGGGGGGATCTTGGAGGACATGTTGGGGGATCTCTTTATGTTTCAGAAGAGCTTTTGATTGGAAGACAATTAACTCTTACAGGGCCAGTTACCACAAGGTGCATGCAAATGTCTCATAGAGAATGAAAATATCAAACTGTTTATGGCCATCCTCTGGCCTGCTCTCATGGTGGTGACTTTTTGGATAGCTGTCCTATTGCAACTATCAAATAGGTTTTGTTACATGTAAGGGTGCCAGGCTTTTCTAGTGTCCAGGAAAATGAGTCTAGGGCCAGTTTATTCCAAAACCAATCCAGCATATTTTTTAATTATTGGAGATATTTAGAACCAGTGGAAAATTGCTAAAACAAGAACGTAGAAACTCCATACGCACAGCTTCCTGGTGGGAATAACATCTAGGAGGCCCTCAGTTCTACAGGGCTATAGTGCTAGTTGATCAGCCACCATGCTGCCTAAGGCCTTGTTCCTACTATGGTTGTAATGCAGGGCTTGGCAGGTGGATCGGACCCATACTAAACAACCACCCACCCTCACAAAATGTGCATTTCACCATCTGGCAGCATTCAGACCATGTCAGGCAATGGTTTGTAGTGCAAAGGGCAAATCCCATGGAGCCGAACATCTATGCAGACCCGCTGGTATTGAAATGAATGACAGTCTCAGCCTGGGCTCCTGCCAGGTCACAATCCCAATGTGTTTCACTCCGCCCCTTGGAGCTTGATCATGGGGATATATATATATATATAGAACCAAACATGATTAAAATGTAAGGATTTTAAAAGTGCCCAATATTCACCATCATAGTGAATAAATGACGAAGCAATTTTTTTCTACAAATATATATTTATTCAAATTCACATAATAAAACAACTGGGATATTATTAGGAAGTTATGTGTATCAAATATTGACAGTATGTAGTACCAACCTTTTTAAAAAGCTGGTATTTTATGGTGTCATTTAAATAAATAGCAAGTTTTAGAAATCTAAAATTATATTTTTATATACTTTCTTTTTGCTTATTTCTTGTAAAATGTTGACATTTAAACCTCTTTGAACCTCCTTGTGAATTATGTACATATTACTGGGTAGTAACACTCTAACTCAAAATTTCTTAGTCTCCATCCAGTTTTGATCCTTTATTACTATATGAGTAAATTGTAAAGATATTAAAATTGCCCTAGCATCCTCCATCACAGTTAATAAATGTCCAAATAATATTTCTACAATTTGATATTTATTCAAATGACATTATCAAATATTGTCTTTTTAAAAATTGGTACAGCATGCTGTCGGTTTTTGAGACACATAACCACCAAATAATATCCCATTTTTTACAACACGGAGGTTGCAAGTTCTAATTCATATTAGTCAGTACTAAAATACAATAGATGTCATGTACTTTTGGTAGAATTTACAACCTTCATGTCATGTGATGAAGCAGATGTGTTTCTGCAAAACACAAGCAGGGTTGTAGTATCCCAAGTCTGAAGTTGTAATACAACAATCTTTATGATTGGATTTTCTGTAGCACAACTAATGGCGTTAATTGAAACTGGGATATTATTAGGAGGTTATGTGTCTCAACTATTGACAGTAAGTTGTACCATACGTTTTTACTTATTCTATGATGTAATTTGAATAAATATCAATTTCTAGAAACATTATTTGGACATTTATTGACTGTGATGATGGATTTTGGGGTACCTTTAAAATTTTGCCCATTTGTTTGTGTCTCAACACTTGTAACAAAAACGTTTCAAAAAGAAAGTGTATATATATATATATATATATATATATATGTATGTACAGTATGTACGTATGTGTGTGTGTGTATTTATATATATATATAATATATATATATATATACAATATAATTGGTTAGTACAAAAAGTTTTTGTGTCAATAAAATTAGCACCTGCAATGAAACACAGACAATATCAATTATAACAGCCCATACAGTTTACAAATACAAATGAAAGGAAGTAAAAACAAACAAAGAAACAAATAAGAAATAAATATTATCATATAAACAATAATATGTAATAAATAATATCATTATAAATAAATAAACCCTCACCTTATAAAATATATGTAAACCCTCACCTTATAAAACAATCCATACAGTTTAAAGGATAAGTTCATCTTTGGGAATATGTTACATGTTCCACCCGTTTTTAGGGTGGAATATGTAACATGTTCCCATAGCCGCAGCCGCTGCCCGCCACCCCCCCCTCTCAATCTGACAAATAATACGGGGAGAAGTCTCCCCATACTATCTGTCAAATTTGAAAAGAGTGCTGCCGTGCGGGGCTCCGCCCACACGGCCGCATCATTCATTGAACTGCAAGTCCTGACAGCCTTAGCGGTTGTCACTTGTAGTTTTCAATGAACTACCACGGCGCTGTGGACCGCCGTGGTAGCTCATTGAGTCTTCCTGTCAGAATATCTGCTTGCTTGTACATCCCGTACATCCCGTACATCCCGTACCGCTAGCAGATATTCTGACAGGTTTGCAGGAGACCTGCATGGCACTGGAGATCTGCTGATCGCTGGTGCAATATTTTCCAGGCTCCTGCAGACAAAAATAATAAATGCAAATTTTTTTACCTGCAAAAAAATGTGCATTTATTATTTTGTCTAAAATGTGAACTTATCCTTTAAAAATAGAAATGAAAGGAAAAACATTTTTTGTATAAAAACATTATAAATACCCCTTGTTCTCAGCGGCATAGAGAGGCAAGGATGGAGAAACAGCAGTACACTGGTCTTCCCAGTGAATGGCTGTGCAGGGGATTGGCACATATCTGATCATTGGAGGAGAGCTGACTCAACTGAGAGCTCTCATAGAGAGAACTGACCACACTATGCTCTCATGCCTAGCGTGGTCAGTTTTTAATAGGAAAGCAAAGGGACAGGTAGGGACATCAGGGAATTCACACAAAGGAAGCAATACAAAGAGAACAGATGCATATCAGGAATATGAAATGTTGGATTTACATATTCTTTGATTGTATATTGCAATTGATTGATAGTGTTACTCTGTTCAGGGGCGGGACTGACCATTGGAGCACTCGGGCACTGCCCAAAGGCCCGGGGTCAGTAGGGGGCCTCATGACATTCCCCTGGTACCTTTTTATAGGCTTTTTTTGGGTGTGCAAGGACACACGGGCCCCATGATCTCCTAGATTGTAAGCTCGAAAGAGCAGGGCCCTCGATCCCCTCATGTTTTGCATTGTATTGGTATTGTTCTGTCACATGTTCTGTCCCCCATTGTAATGTACAGAGCTGAGCGAACTATTGGCGCTTTATAAATACTGTATAATAATAATAATGGTCCCTATTGCCCGGGGGCCCCATGAGTTGTCAGTCCGCCCCTGACTCTGTTATTAGGGATGGCTGTATGAAATAGATGGTTTTAATGTGTATGCTAATTGATGGCAATCGTCTGTGTTTATTGGAAGTGCTGGTTGTAGTCACACAAACCAAAACGAAACATTTTTGTTCTCAAAATAATATCTTTTTTATATACTTTATTTGGTGTTTGTTTTTCCATACTATGTTCTTTGTGTTCTGCAAACCTATCGTTATTGCTTTATTTAATTAATGATTTGAAATATTTATTTAATTCATTCATCATCATCATTATTATTATTATTATTAATATTTATATTATTGTTATTATTTATAGGTGGAGCCTTCCCCTTCACTGTAGGTCGCATTACCCATGGTTTCAACGTGCGTCCTGATCTCTGTGCTGTTCACAATAATGAACCCCCCCAGAAATACCTTGGATCTTTCTACACAGACTCCCTGGTACATGACCCCGGAGCCCTAAAACTCCTGATAGATGTGGTTGGGAAGGTGAGTTGTTGTGTGCCTGAGATGCAATGGACCACATCTGCTAAAAGTGAGCTCACCCAGTTAACATAGTTTCCTTACCAACAGAACAATGCTTGCTTGTGCACTCCCACCTCTGCAGGTACATGCTTGAATTGGAGAACACAGCCATGTTTCATGGACCAGTTCAGGCATTACTATGAGTGATTGGTTAACCACTTCCCGTCCGGCCCATGTACATGAACGGGCGGATGGGAGCAGTGCCGAAGCAGGTTGCCGTCTATAAATGTCCTCCTGCTTCCGTGCTTGTGAGCGCACCCTGGGAGCACCGATCGCTGTACGGGACCTCTGTGTGAGGTCCCGATCATGTGATCACTGATTGGCCAATCAGTGATCACATGAATAGTAGTAAGCAATATGTCACTTCTGACATCATTGCTTACTACGTGTGAAATCTGTGAATGATCACAGAAGTCACATGGTACAGGGCTATTCACAACAGCCTTGTACCATGTGACAAGCTGTGACCAATCACAGCTCTCACGGTATTTCTCAATGGCTGCAAGAATGCGGCCAGAGAGAAGGAGAAATTATTGCTTTTACAGCCTTTATGGGTGTAAAAGCAATCAGTGGAAAAAAAATAAATCAAAAATAATCTTCATCACCCCCCACAAGTAGTACAGTGTCACCATGGTGACACTGTACTGCTAGGGTGAGAGTATGTAAAAAAAAAAATATATTAATATAAAAAAATAAAATAAAAATGTAAAAAAAAAATTTGAAAAATTATAATTTTTGGTTATAAACTAATTTGGGTTTTTTTGTTTACTAAAAAGATAGATGAATACATTTTGGCCAAGATTTATGATGAAATACTATTTATTTGCAAAATTTTATAAAGAAAACACTTTTTTTTTTTCAAAATGTTTGGACTTTTCATTTATATATAAAAAAAAAAATTCCCAGTGGTGAATAAATACCACCAAAATAAAGTTTTATCTGTCTCTAAAAGATGCTAAAAAATTCATATGGGTACAGTGTTGCATGACCGCACAATTGTCATTCAAAGTGTGACAGCGCTGAAAGTTGAAAATTGTCCTGGGCAGGAAGGGGGTGAAAGTGTCCGGACTTGAAGTAGTTAAAGTACATTATGAACACTTTTTTTTCCCTTTTTCATAAGTGATCATACACCCTCTGTATGGGGCAGGGGGTGGAGAAACAGCAGAACACTGGTCTTCCCAGTGAATGGCTGTGCAGGGGAAGGGGAGTGTCAGTACAAGTCTAACTATTGGAAGAGAACACACTGAGTTCCCAGCACAGCTAGAAAACTGACCACGTTGTGCTCTCATGCTTAGTGTGGTCAGTTTTTTTTTTATATGAAAGCAGAGGGACTGGTAGGAACACCAGGGATTTCATACAATGAGAACAGGAGACTTTTTCATACAAGTACATGGTACAGCAGGTACATATCAGGAATAGGAAATATTGGGTTTACATTTTCTTTAAGTCCTTACCAGTACACATATATGCGCAGGGGCGGACTGACCATTTGGAAACTCGGGCACTGCCCGAGGGCCTGGGGTCAGTAGGGGGTCCCATGAGATGCCCCTGGTACCTTTTTCATAGGCTTTTTTGAGTTTGGGCAAGGACACAGGGGCCCCATGATCCCCTATTGCCCGGGGGCCCCATGAGTTGTCAGTCCGCCCCTGCCAGGAGCATTGGCTTGCATATACTAATGTAACAAATGATAGACCTGACCTCTTCTGAAAACTAAGCACAGACTTGATTGAGGAATGTCTCAAAAATATTTAGTAAATGCTGCCCCCTGCAGGATCATGCGTAGCTGACAAATTGTTTTCCCAGGGACACGTTTAGTGGACTATTTTGGAAACCAGAAAAAGAATCTCAAAAGTAAAACCCGTGACCGTCTTAATAATCGTCCAACCACACATGCTGCTAAATTAAAGTTTAGGCATGACTTATTTTTTGCATAATTACATGCAATCACAAACACTTTGCATTCATTGAGAAAATGCTAAGTGCTCCCTGACTGGTGCCCATGAAGTTAGGAGTGATCACTGTAACAGCAATGATTTCCAGCTTCCATAGGCAGGGGTGTATTTACCACAAGGCATTTGCCTATGGCGGCATTTTTCAAGGGGGCAGCACTACCCTCCTGGAAGAAAGGACAGAAGAGGGGACACATGTGGCATGGGGACCAGGTGGGATCTGAGAGAGGCTGCGGGCTGCTTGACTCTCATTCCCAGGGATGTCTAGAGCTGTGAAGGTGAGTGTCTTTCTCTCTCTTGCTGGGAGGTGAGTGGCCAGTGTATGGGGGTGATGGTAGTAGAAGGCTCTCTCGGGTGGTGGTGATGGGGGGCAGGGGTGTTGTTGGTTAATGTCAGGCTCTCTCTGGGGGGGGGGGGGGGGCGAATTTTGTGTTGCCTAGGGCAGCAAAATACCTAAATACACCACTGTCCGGATTATATATATATATATGTTCAACCTGCAGCAATGTAACTATGCCATAGCTACAATATACTTAAAGCAGTATTAAATCCAAAAGCATTTTTTTTATATCGCAACTTACCAATTCTTAGATATGATGGCTGCATTCATTTTCTTTCTATCATCTATTTTCATCTGGTAAACCAGCCTACAAGTCTGTTGTTGTTTTTTTACAGCACAAGCTCTCCAGCAGAATGTATCAGTTTACAAAGCTTAGACAAACCACTTCACACTGGCAGGGGTGATTAAAACGATCAACTTTTATTTAGTAGTGTATTTAAATCTGCTAGTATATTTAACACTCCCCTTCCTCCAAGAGTGGAGGAATGCTGCTGTCTTCTGTACCTCCTGTGCTCATTCCTCCAGAGTTGTGTCTTACTAATACCGGAGGTGTGTTACTGGCCAGATCAGCAGGTGAAAACAGAGGGGAAAAGCCAAAAACAGAAAACTAATGCAGCAACTACACCTAATGAATGGTAAGCTGCAATATATTACATTTTTGGTTTTAGGTTCAACACTGCTTTCAGCTATAAACCTGTGATGGGTTAGGATGTACTAAACTAGGCTAAAATGTATCTAAACCCAGTATTAAAAGTTACATGACTGCTCCTAGTACAAGATAAAAAGTTATTATTTCCGATAATAATCAGATCCATCTAGTGCCCATAATGTGATATTTCCTGATTAGGGTATTTCAAAAAAATACTGCATTATGGCCACTAGATGGAGCTGCCGATCATAGGAAATTAAAATATTGGGTGAATTACGAAGATTATTTGCAGTGGATTAGCAAATGCATGATATATTCCCATAGGGATTTTTTTTTAATCAAAGGGTATTAGTTTAAGTATCAGAGTTGGTGTTTAAGGAGTTAATGTTTTTGGTTAAGTAATAGGGAAGGTGGATTGTGTTAAGGGCTAAGTGTTGAGAGTTAGGTTGTAAGGGTCAAATTAAATCAGTGGTGTCCCTAGGCAGGTGCGGGGGGTGCGCGCCGCACAGGGTGCATGGGGCATGGGGTGACATCGGACACGCTCCACAAAAAGGTAAATTGTAAAGCAAGCCAACGATCCCCGCAGGATGGATCGATCCATCCTGCGGGGATTATCGGCTTTCTTTACAACTTACCTTTTTGTGGAGCGGGTCCGGTGTCACCCTGTATAGGCTGCAGGCCGACGATCCCCGCAGGATGGATCGGATCTGTGGATTGGGGAGCATAATGGATCGGAGTCTGCGGGGATTGTCGAAGGGGGTGTCACCAAGTGTTATCGCACCGGGTGACACCAACCCTAGGGACACCCCTGAGTTAAATGTTAATGTTTAAGAAGGAATTAATTTTTCTACCAATGCCAGGCTCAAAGAACAAAGGTACGTAGACTGAAAACATCACTAGTGATATGCTAGCTGCATAAGACTGGTTAGAATGCAAGTTTAGATTAAAGGAAATTTCCAGGAAAAATCCTAATTTGTTTACCACACCAAATAGTGTGATGGAGCCTCACCTGACTCCTAGAAAGGATTAACCAGGACCAGGAGCTGTCACTGGAGAGCTCACCTGTTGCTCCACCTGCTGATCTGGAATATAGTATTTTGCCACTGTGTACAATATTCCCTACAACAGCCCTTCCCAACCAAGGATCCATGGTACCCTGAGCTTCCACAAGAGTTGGCTGTGGATTCCTTGAGAACAGTGGAAAATTGATCTTCTGCCTACACTGACTGCCAATGTAAGGGGATCATGTCTACACTAACTATCAGGGTAAGGGGTCACGTCTACATAGACCACCAAGGTAATGGGATCACTTCTATACTGACCACCAATGTAAGAGGTCATGCATACATAGACCACCAATGTAATGGGATCACTTCTACATTGACCAACAATGTAAGAGGTCATGCATACATAGACCACCAAGGTAATGGGATCACTTCTGCACTGACTAATAATGTAAGAGGTCATGCATACATAGACCACCAATGTAATGGGATCACTTCTACACTGACCAACAATGTAAGAGGTCATGCATACATAGACCACCAAGGTAATGGGATCACTTCTGTACTGACCAACAAAGTAAGAGGTCATGCATACATAGGCCACCAATGTAATGGCATCACTTCTGCACTGACCAACAATGTAAGAGGTCATGCATACATAGACCACCAAGGTAATGGGATCACTTCTGTACTGACCAACAATGTAAGAGGCCATGAGTACATAGGCCACCAATGTAAGGGATCACTTCTGCACTGACCAACAATGTAAGAGGCCAGGCATGAATAGGCCACCAATGTAAGGAATCACTTCTGCACTGACCAACAATGTAAGAGGTCATGCATACATAGGCCACCAAGGTAATGGGATCACTTCTGTACTGAACAACAATGTAAGAGGAAATGCGTACATAGGCCACCAATGTAAGGGATCACTTCTGCACTGACCAATAATGTAAGAGGCCATGCGTACATAGGTCACTAATGTAAGGGATCACTGCTGCACTGACCAATAATGTAAGAGGCCATGCGTACATAGGCCACCAATGTAAGTGATCACTTCTGCACTGACCAATAATGTAAGAGGCCATGCGTACATAGGCCACCAATGTAAGGGATCACTTCTGCAGTGACCAATAATGTAAGAGGCCACGCGTACATAGGCCACCAATGTAAGTGATCACTTCTGCACTGACCAATAATGTAAGAGGCCACGCGTACATAGCCACCAATGTAAGTGATCACTTCTGCACTGACCAATAATGTAAAAGGCCATGCCTACATAGACCACCAATGTAATGGGATCACTTTATTTTTAACCACTTGCCCTCCAGAAGCCATTTTTTGCAATAAGCCACTGCGTTATTTAAACTGACAATTGCACGGTCATGCAACGCTATACATAAATGAACTTTCTGTCCTCTTTTCCCACAAATGGAGCTTTCTTTCAATGGTATTTGATCACCAAATTTCATCATAAATTTAGTTTAAAATGGATTCTGCTACATGTATTTGCTAAAAAAATCCAATACGTAAAAGTGATAGTGTCTACAAATGGTGGTATATATACTGGAATGTTTATTTATTTATTTTTATGCTAGTAATAGCAGCGATCAGCAACCTATAGCAGGACTGCGTGGGGCATACTGACACTGAGTGGGAACTGAATAACTGCCACTGACATCCCCAGTGACACTAATACAGTGATCAGTGCCAATAAAAAGCACAAATTCAAAATGACCCTGGGTGTTAAGCCTGTCCATAACTGTGTATAGATTGGGTGTAATGCTGGATTTCCATAGACTCGAAATTGTTAGTCTAGCAGCAATGGGTATTTGTATTACAATAGTTCTACATCGTGTTGGGTATGTCTCTAATTTGAAGCTTTAAAGTGCCATTCTTGGTGTGAGTGGGGTTAAGATCCCTGTAATGGACACTAGAAAAGTTGAAACAGAATTCTAGAAACTCTGAATATTTTTACAACTCCAAATGATACGATATAGGGTTCCTATTTGACATTCGCATCTCCAACAAGTAGAATTACAAGAAGGGAATATTTTAGATAATCGATAGGGAGTTAGATACCATCTGGGGTGTTTTTTTTTAGCATGTTTAATACATGTAGATGATTTATTGTTATAATGTATAGCCTGTTGTTATTTTTTCCAAGACAAGCAATGGCCAGGTTCTGCTTCCCATTTTACCATGTAAGAGTTTTTTTCCATTAATAAAGTCTGTTAACCATGCATAAAAAAGGAAATTCCCTTCTCTTTGAATCTATTGAAGTTGTAAGGAATTCCCAAACTTTGGGGGGATTCTAAATCTGCTATTAAATGTGATTTGTTAAATTTAGTTATCTGGGATATTATGCGTTTATCCACAATAGAAATAGGGAGTGGCAGATGTGATAGAAAATGATAACCTTGTTATATCCAATCATCAACTGATATCTCAGGGATACAATGTGCATCCACAGTTTTAACCTCTTCAATAAGTTTTGTTTTGATTAGTAAATATCTCCATGCTAGGAGTGAGCTGGTGATAGAATACAATGGAGGGGTAATTATCTTATTAGTTATTATCAATGCAAATAGATCTTGTCCCTTTGTAACCTCCTTTTCTATAGCAACCCACAATTTATCTTCTGATGATAAGAACCAACATTTCAATTGATCTAAGAGTGAAGCATAATAATAAGCTTGCATGTCTGGGAACCAAAAAAGGAAAGGGGGGGAATACCCTCAATGTAAGGGGCATTGTACTAATGCACAGAATTTGATAAAACAATAATTTTTATTAATTCACATAAAAATGGTGGACAATGACATAACCACCATATAAAATTCATACATTTTATACAGAAACTTTCATAAAACCATACAAAATCATGATAAAATGTTGCGTCCCCTTGATATTTTCCGACTTGTTTCGCAGTTCACAGCTGCTTTATCATGCACATCCCGGGATTGTTTGTCAGTACTATGGAATAATTGTTTAGCTTTTCAATTTCCATAACCAAAAAACATTTTTTATATATAACAACATAAGTCAAAATAACAGCTTACCACAACATCAGTTAATAATTGCTGCTGATTCTGAGAGGGCACCACGTGTGGGTACAAGAACCCTCACCCTAGAAGATAATAGGGGAGGGCTTGCAGGACACTGGGCCAGAAAAGGTGAGGCAGGGCTGAAGAGAGCCTATGGAAGCTGCATAATCCCAACGATAACAAAATAACAAAACATAGATAATGATTAAACAAACTAAATTTACCTACAAAAAAAAAAAGGAAAAAGAAAAGGGGTGCTGGGAAGATGGTCAAAAACCAAAAACCATAACACCTATGTACTAAATCAAAACCATATACCTCAGATATATATTTTTTTTTAATTTTTTTTATGGTTGACCTGGATAGACTTTTTTGTCTTTTCTAAGCCACACTAATGCAGGCCATAGACGGCTCAAAAACCGCACGTTTTTCCGAACGATAAATGAAAAATCGGTCGTTCGTTAAACCAACCAATTTACAAAAATCGGCCGACCAAGTCAGAAAGTTCACCCCATATAACAGCCAAAACTTCTGTTCCTTCCAGGTCACGGCTCACGCGCATATTTTTTTTCGTTAAAACGATCGTATGATTTGGCCATCATTGCCGTGAAAATTGGTCGTTTTCCACGAATTTTCCAACATGACCGATAATCCAAAAGTGCAAAAAACCCAAAAACCGGCCGACCAAATAACCCACTAACAGTGCGAAAATCGGCCGATTTTCGAACCGTCTATGGCTGGCATAACTATGTAACTATATGTAACTATGTAAGATAAGAAAACACTTACCAAGCTACTGTGTGTTCAGAGGTAGAGGCGGACATCCACATCCCCATAACAGTACAAAGAGGATCCCTTATCCCTCGAAACATTACATAAGCAGAAGACAAGGTACTAGATGCGTCCACTGAACCACAAAGTAATGGGCAATACAAGGGTGGAAAGCCAGCATGCATACATGCTAGTATGTTATGAAAATAAAGAATCATAAAAAAAAGGAGGAACAAAGGGAGATAAAAAAAAGATTAGAAACAGCAGGCCCACAACTGTTTCAATTTTTTTTATTATTGTTTTTTCAAATTATGCTGTGCATTAGTATGGTGCCAGTATGGTGCCTTTAAAGTCCCTTACATATGGAGGGTATTCCCAATATCAGGGGTCATGTGTACATAGGCTAGCAATGTAAGGGATCACTTCTACACTGACCAACAATGTAAGAGGTCATGCATACATAGACCACCAATGAAATGGGATCACTTCTACATGGACTGCCAATATCAGGGGTCATGTGTACATAGACCACCAATGTAAGGGATCACTTCTACACTGACCAACAATGTAAGAGGTCATACATACATAGACCACCAATGTAATGGGATCACTTCTACATGGACTGCCAATATCAGTGGTCATGTGTACATAGACCACCAATGTAAGGGATCACTTCTACACTGACCAATAATGTAAGAGGTCATACATACATAGACCACCAATGTAATGGGATCACTTCTACATGGACTGCCAATATCAGAGGTCATGTGTACATAGACCACCAATGTAAGGGTTCGCTTCTACACTGACCAACAATGTAAGAGGTCATACATACATAGACCACCAATGTAATGGGATCACTTCTACATGGACTGCCAATATCAGAGGTCATGTGTACATAGACCACCAATGTAAGGGATCACTTCTATACCAACACCCAATGAAAGGGATCACTTCTACACTGACCAACAATGTAAGAGGTCATGTATACATAGACAACCAATGTAATGGGATCACGTCTACATAGACTGCCAATATGAGGAGTCATGTGTACATAGACCACCAATGTAAGGGATCACTTCTATACCAACACCCAATGAAAGGGATCACTTCTACACTGACCAACAATGTAAGAGGTCATGCATACATAGACCACCAATGTAATGGGATCACTTCTACATGGACTGCCAATATGGGGGGTCATGTGTACATAGACCAGCAATGAAGGGGATCACTTCTCCACTGACCAACAATGTAGGGGGTCACTAAAATGTTCACTGTCTTTGTTTCTTTTCCAGCAATTTCAAAATATTTATTTTATTTTAAAGTCTCTAAAACCTACTGATTACACTAATATATCACCTGTATTTCTGATCATTTTAGTGGGGCTTCCCTGAGACCTGAGAACTGTTTCCTCTATGTTAAAATGTATGAGAAAAGTTTCTCTAAAGGAGAAAGGGGGGGGGGGGGTCCCCAATATAATAGGGAACATTTATTTGTCTGGAATCGTTCTGTGCAGTTGACATTTTAGTTATTAGAATCAGTAACTTTGTCATTGACAATTTATAGTTTTACTTTTTTTTCAAACAGGAAAAAGTGATGTTAGGAACTGATTATCCTTTTCCATTGGGAGAGCATAATCCTGGACACCTTATTGAATCAATGGAAAATTTTGACTTGAATTTAAAAGTAAGATTTTTTTGTTAATAAAGTATTCTGTAATATCTATATAATCTATTGTATTAGTTTTATAATATAGATAAATACATATATATATTTATAAATATATATAATTTATAATAGAGAATCTATATTGCTCTCCACTTTCAGTTACTTTGCATTATTCACAATATTGCGGCCTGCATTTTGCGGCCCAGTCATAAAATGCAGACCATTGTATTGAGCTTGTACTACGCCACTGCTTCACAGAAAATAAGTGTTTGTTGTGTAAATTTGTTAGGTCACATAACAAGATTCTCCTCTTGGCTTTTTTACTTCTATCATTCACTTTTATTATTCTTTCATCCATTTTTATTGCACTCTGGCGGGTTTGGGTTCTGCTGTTCTTCATAATTGTGCAGTTTGGTATGGCTGCACACTGCTGCTTCTTAAAATGACACAGAGGGGTTGATTTACTTAAGGCAAATATACTTTGCACTTTGCAAGTGCAGTTGCTCCAGAGCTTAGTAAACGAGGTAAAGCTTCACTTTGCAAAGAATACCCAACCACAAGCAAGGAAAAAACAAACAGCATTTCTGCTTGCACATGACTGGATGATGGAAGCCAGCAAAGCTTCCCCTCATTTACTAAGCTCTGGAGCAACTGCACTTGGAAAGTGCACAGTCTATTTGCCTTTAGTAAATCAACCCCAGTAAAGTTTCCAGATGGACTATCACATTTCCCATTAAAGTGCATAAACCTAAACCCCATTGCTAAAATCTCATATGAGCTTTAACATGTTAATATAATTTCAGAAGTTGCTTTCCAAAAATTTTTAATCAGCAGCTTTTATCAAAATAATACTTGGTGATCCTAGTGATCTTGGCATTAAAGCGGAGCCCACCCAAAAGGGGATGTTCCGCTGTAGGCCTTTGTCCCCCGCTCCCCATTAAGGATTGGCACATTTGGGAAGCGGGTACCCGAATTTGCCAGGTACCCACTTCTGCTGCGATTGTGCGATTGCCTAGGCGATCAGGAGCAGAAGTTGTCCCCCCCCCCCCCCCTTGTAGTTTTCTGGGACACAGGGCCATTCACAAAGCGCAGAGCTTCTCACGCATGCGCAGTGGGCACCTGGCTGTGAAGCTGCAAGCTGTCACAGCTGGGTGCCCACACTGAAAATGCTGGTGCCAGGGAGAGAAGACGGCTGGTGAAACCAGCTATGGTGAGGACACTGCTGGACCGAGGGACAGGTTAGTGTCTGTATTTCAAAAGTCAGCAGCTACAATTTTTGTAGCTGCTGACTTTTTTTTTTTTCCGGTGGAGGTATTTCCTGTTATGGGGTGACACATGCATCCACGGTCCAGAGACCACTGTTGCCACCATCAGAAAGACGATCCAGAGCAATGACGTGAAACCAACACTGGAGTGGGAGCATGTAGAAAGGAAGTGGCTGAAATAGTTTGAAAGAAAAAAGCAGCAATTAGGTGCAACAAAAAAATGGAAAAATGAAAATATACACTTTATGGGGGAGAAAAACATGGAAATTGCTGTATTTGTAGCCAGGGCTGGGACAAGGGATGGGCAAGAGGGGTGGCTGCCCAGGACATGGAGAAGCAAGGGAGCAAAGAATAAATGTAGAGTGGTACACCCATTCTACAACATGTATTAACAGTGTGTGTGGGGGGGGGGGGGGGCACAAATCTGGCTCCTTGCTGTGGGTGCTGAATGATCCTGTCCTGGGACTGTTTGTAGCTGCTGGCTTTTAAATTTTTGGGTGAACTGAAGACCCTCTTAATTCTTTCCCTGCCCCTCCCCCCCATTTCCCCAGCAGATTTTGTGTGTGCGCACATGTGCTGCAGGGCTTTGGGTTGCGACAGAGCCCAGTAGCACATCTGCATGAATGCAGGTTTCACGCACATTTTCACATCCATAGGGTCCACCGTGCATCAAAACTTGCGTTTTCTGTGCATGTGTGAAAAATCCCCCGTGTGTGTACAAATCTACTGAAGAGCTTTGCTGAGACCCTAAGGCTGGGCATAGATGACTGATAAAAAAAAACAAATCCATTCCCCTAATAACACAAGCAAAGTGGATGAAGGAATCCTCTCTCCTCTGTCAGAATAGACTGATCAGCATTGCAGGCCATTGGCTGCAGCCGCTGATCGAATGAAAACTTTCCAAAATTCCAGTTCGACAGAAGTCAACCTAACAATGTTGAATGGAAACTGCCATAGATAGATTGAAATTCAGCCAGTCCCAAATTTCAATCTATCTATGGCCAGCTTTAGGCCAGGAAGAGCCCTTCAGTGCACCTGTGCATGCACTGGACAATCAAAAATGGTAACACCGGTGGAGGGGGAGTGGGGCTATGATTACGGGGACTGAAGTTCCTCTTTAAAGATTACTCCTATGCCTTAAGCCTAGTACACAAGATCAGAAAATCGTATGAAAAATATCGCTTTCTAAACGATCGTACAATAATCTGATCATCATGACCCGACTACTGCAACTCGCTCCTCACCGGCCTACCTCATCACAGACTATCCCCGCTTCAGTCTATGCTGAACTCAGCGGTCAGACTCATCCACCTTACCAACCGCTCCGCATCTGCCACCCCCCCTCTGTCACTCCCTCCATTGGCTTCCGATTGCCCAACGCATTAAATTCAAACTACTAACATTGACATACAAAGCCATTCATAACGCCGCCCCAAAACCTACCTCACCGACCTGATACCCAAATACCACGCAACCCTGTGCTCTTCGCTCCTCACAAGACCTCCTACTTTCTAGCACCCTGGTCTCCTTCTCCCACGCCCGACTGCAGGACTTCTCCAGGACTTCCCCCATCCTCTGGAACTCACTGCCCCAATCCATCAGACTGTCACCTACCCTCCTCACCTTTAGGCGCACCCTGAAAACCCATCTCTTCAGGGAAGCCTACCCCACCCTCACCTAACAGCCCGATCTCCTCCACTCCTCCTACCACTCCATCCCCCACAGCCACTTCCTCCAGTACCGCTATCCCCTCCCTCCTAGATTGTAAGCTCTTAAGAGACAGGGCCCTCGAACCCCTCGTATATTGTTTTGTTACTGTATTGTCTCATGTACTGTCCCCCACTATATTGTACAGCGCAGAGCAAACTTTTTGGCGCTATATAAACACTGTATAATAATAACAGGTAGGGACACCAGGGAATTCACACAAAGGAAGCAATACAAAGAGAACAGGTGCATATCAGGAATATGAAATGTTGGATTTACATATTCTTTGATTGTATATTGCAATTGATTGATAATGTTATTCTGTTATTAGGGTTGGCTGTATGAAATAGATGGTTCAATGTGTATGCTAATTGATGGCAATCATCTGTGTTTATTGGAAGTGCTGGTTGTAGTCACACAAACCAAAATGAAACATTTTTGTTCTCAAAATAATAATATTATTATTATTATACAGGATTTATATAGCGCCAACAGTTTGCTCAGCTCTTTACAATATAACGGGAGACAATACAGTTCAATACATGAGGGTTAGTAGGGTCCTGCTCCTTGGAGCTTACAATCTAAAATCATTAGTATACAGTTTTCAAAGGGGCAAGCATAAAAAATGTTCTTGTACGATACCAAGTTTGTACGATTTCCAACTAATCAGTACAGTTTTTATCCAAAAAAAAAACAATACAAATACAATCCAAAAAAAAAATACAAATACAATACAATACATTACATTATTTCAAATTTTTTTATCCTGTCGTACAAGAATTTTCATAACTTTAGTAACCTCTTCACTTTCAATATGGAGACTAGCATGCAATAAAATAAAAAACAGACGATCATTCGTTCAATATTCTCATCCTGTGTATGGGGCTTTAAACCTTCCATTGATAACATTATCACCATTTCAATCTTTTCCAGGACAAGCTCTTGGCTTCCAATGCATTGTCATTCCTGGGACTGGACAGAATAAACTTTGAGTGATGTCAAATGTCTAGGAATGTGGATTTCTTTACATCCTGCCATTCCACAATATTTTACACAAGTTGAATAGATTGGTCTTACAAAAAGTAGGTTTTCTCACCAGGTGAATGTTTGACAACTGCATGAACTTAGATGGAATGTGTCCTGGGGCTAAGGTGTCTTCATTAAGGATTGCACCTCCAAGGCACCTCTCTCTATTGTGTAAACAGCCTCAGCCATGAAACTGGAATTGACAATGAGATCCAGACTTTGATTGCTAGTTTTGTCCAGAACAAAAGACACATTAGCAATCCTTTCTTAGCCGAAATTAACTTTCTGTGATCAATTCAAAACAGGTTTCTTATTATTGTACAAACAGAGGATTTCTCCCTTTCATTACTTTCAGTAAATTCTGTTAGATTGCCATATTTACAGTAAATGTTATTGCTACAAAATGTTTTTTCTTTTTTTTTAAGTAATTAATTTATTGTTATTTTGTTTCTTTCTTAGCACCCAAAAAAATGCAGTGCATGTTCTTTTATAGTTGTGTACTGACTCTGATTTCCAAGTATTGTCCAAGGTTTCAGAAGTTTCAGAAAACATCACTTAACCCCTTGCCTATGGGGTACTTTCACCCCCTTCCTGCCAAGGCCAGTTTTCAGCTTTCAGGGCTGTCGCTCTTTGAATGACAATTGCGCGGTCAGGCAACACCGTACCCACATTTTTATCATTTATTTGAGACAGATAGAGCTTTCTTTTGGTAGTATTTAATCACCACTAAGGTTTTTAATTTTTGCTAAACAAATGAAAAAAGACCAAAATGTTTTTGGGAAATAAAGCTTTTCTCAGTTTCTATGATAACAGTTTGCAAATAAGTAATTTATCTTCTTCACTGATGTGCGCTGATGAGGCTGCACTAATGGGCACTGATAGGCTGCACTGATGGGCTCTGATGAGGTGGCACTGATGGGACTGATGAGGAGAAACTGATAGGGAGAACTCATGGGCACTAATAGGTGGAACTGATGGGCACTGATGAGAAAGCACTGATAGGCATAGGCAGCACGGATGGGCACTGATAGGATGTACTGATGGGCACTGATAGGTGGAACCAGGGGCGGACTGACAACTCATGGGCCCCTGGGCAATAGGGGATCATGGGGCCCCTGTGTCCTTGCCCACACTCAAAAAAGCCTATGAAAAAGGTACCAGGGGCATCTCATGGGGCCCCCTACTGACCCCGGGCCCTCGGGCAGTGCCCGAGTTTCCAAATGGTCAGTCTGCTCTGGGTGGAACTGATGAGGAAGCACTGATAGGCACTGATAGGATGCACTGATAGGCAGCATTGATAGGTGGAACTGATGTGCATTGATGAGGCGATACTGATGAGGAGGAACTGATAGGTGACACTGATAGGTGGAACTGGTGGGCACTGATGAGGAGGCATTGATAATATCATTGATGGGCACTAATTGGCACTGATGGGGCTACAGTGATAATCAGTACCCTGATTATCAGTAAAAACGATGTCCTGACAGGCTTGCAGGTTAACGGCTCTCCTTTTGTCCCACATACAAAGCATGGGAGGAAAGGAATGTTTATAACGGCAAGTCTATTTACATGATATCAGATATGGTTGACCCTTAACCCCGATCTGTGATCAGCTGTGTCTGAAGAACAGGAGGCATGCGGTGGGCGGGGAAGACATCTACTGAAGCCCTCCCAGAATTGGATGACCGCGCTGTACCTTCTTTTTTTCTTTAGCACAGTCAGCAAGTGGTTAAAGCTGAACTTTATATTAAAATAGAACTAAAGGCAAAACTTTTTTTATAATAGTTATTATTTTGGATGGATTATGGAAAGGTTATAACCCCCATCGGTTGTGTGTGTGTGTAAGTGCAGGAGATTTCCCTTCACTTCCTGTCCCATAGCCAAAAGAAGAAGTGACAGGAAATCCTTCCAAATCCCTCCAGGTCTGTGTATGTGCCTGTTTTTTTCATTTTTCTTTTTCCATATATATATTTGATGCCCGTTTGTGATACACTTGTACCACGTTTGTTCTATTGTTCTATGAAAAAAATGTTTTTAATAATGTTAGACTGAACACAAATCCATTCAGGGTCACCAAAATGAGTGTCCCCTTTCCAAGATTTCCCCTCTATTACTGTTCTGGTGTCAACCAAAAATTTGGGGTTTTCTTTTACTTTTGATGATAATGGAAACAGAACAAATAGAGAGGGGGGGATCTCCCTAAAGGGGGCACATAAACACTGACAGGGGTTCTAGTCCATCTCCGCTCTATCCAAAACTAAAAAAAAAAAAAGAGTATGTCTTTAGGTATTCTTTAAATATTAATTATGTGCTTCATAGCTTCATTGTCCAATCCCCTTCTTCAGTAACACAGGTTTCTGATGCCCAATATGTGTTCTTTGAAACCCACGATGGAAGAAATGTATTGAGCTGCCTCCACAAAGCATGAGGCAGAGCGGAACAGTTATCACAAAAGTATCCAGACTGGGAAGACCATCCAACACTCCAGACTGTCACCACATATACTTACCTCCAGTGCTAGGACTTGCTGACATATCGGCTTTGCATACGGTAGTCACCACCATTTCCCAACCTATTACTTTAGTTGGCACATAACAGCCTGCTTTCAGCTAATGACTTTTTTACGTATGATTTAATAGCAATTAGCTAGAAACAGACTTACTGTATATGTATATGGAGTGCCAGCTGTAGCTCTAAATTGGCATCTGAGCCCACAAACCCCCAAAAAAAACGTTATTGAGATCATTTTTAATATTCAAAGTAAACTCCCCTATCCGTCCATGTCTCCGTGCTTTATATTGCTGAGAAATTACTTTGAAAAACACCCCCTACAGTGGCGGACTGACAACTCATGGGGCCCCCGGGCAATAGGGGATCATGGGGCCCCTGTGTCCTTGCCCAAACTCAAAAAAGCCTATGAAAAAGGTACCAGGGGCATCTCATGGGGCCCCTACTGACCCCGGGCCCTCGGGCAGTGCCCAAGTTTCCAAATGGTCAGTCCGCCCCTGACCCCCTAGCATTTCTAGCTGTGGGCATCTTGAGTAAGGGCAGTTGACCCATGTAGCATTTACTTCATGGAATTCATCTGCCCTTAGCTCAGGTGTGCAGACAGAAGGATATGCCTAGCTGAGAAAGCCCCCTCCCAGGGCCGGATCTAGCCTGTCTGATATGGGGGTGCAGTTAAAAAGTCAGGGGGGCATTAAGTCAACACGCTATCATTTTCTCCTCTCTTCTCCTCTCCTCTCCACTCTGCTCTTAGTTCCCTACATCTCCTCTATGTGGCTGTTGAAAAAAACATGTGTTAGACCAGCATTATTTTTTTAGTCTTGGCACCCTTTAAAAGTATGCAAGACACCCCAGTCTTGAACAGTATTTCATTGGCCTGAAGGACACTGACACCTGCATTGTATGATGATGATGGCACCCCTGGATTTCCCCCTTCAAATTGGGATTCCACCCCATCACTTCAGAGTTAGCCCGCTTTACATCACAGCCCCCCCCCCCCCCCCACTCATTGCTTTCTTCAAATCCAAGTTGCCAATCCCTTCAAAAGCCTCCCTTGCCATTTGAGTCACCCCTCATAACAGAGTCCCTCCATCACAACAGTGTCCTCTGATCACAACAGAGTGCCCCCCCACTGCAAGAAAAGTCCCCCCTTCCTCTTTCACAACATAGTCTCTCCTTCACAAATAGCAAAAAATGATACTGTGCATCCTGGTCTGCCCTCCTGCACCATGGAAACCATACGATGCAGCAGACAGATAGGTACAAGGTACAGTGTAGCCATGCCACCTTGGAATGCTGAGGCTGTGCACTGCCACCACCCCCAGCCCCTCTACTTCCCTGATACCAATGTCACTGTCTTTTTGGGGGGGAACCACTTAAATATGGGGGCCAGGGTAGAAAAACCCACCCCCACACCCCCAGTAGATCCCAGCCCTACCTTCTCCCCTATCCGTCCATGTCTCCGTGCTTTATATGCTGAGAAATTACTTGAAGACTCCCCAGCACAGGGATGTATGACAACTCATTTTGGCCTCAGCCAGAGGGGGATCATGGAAGTAACTGAAGAAAAAATGTTAAAAAAAAAAAGTTTAGGGGCCCCTACGACCCCGTGTAAATATAATATACTTTCCTATCTATTTACTAAAACTAGCAGCATAAAGATTAACAATAGACAATTGACAGAGTGAAGTTCCACGTTAAATGTTTCTGTAGTAATACATATGTATGGCTAAGGCCTACAGTCATCTTTCATGGATGGGAATAAAACAGATCAGGAACTGGTAATCCACTTACTAATAGAGTTATTCCTCATAAGGTTCTCTATTTCCCCATGCAACCACTAGATTGTCAGTAATGTTGTCAGAAGGGGCGGACTGACCATTTGGAAACTCAGGCACTGCCCGAGGGCCCTGGGGTCAGTAGGGGGCCCCATGAGATGCTCCTGGTACCTTTTTCATAGGCTTTTTTTAGTTTGGGCAAGGACACAAGGGCCCCATGATCCCCTATTGCCCGGGGGCCCCATGAGTTGTCAGTCTGCCCCTGATTGTCAGATTAGTGAAATGTTCCCACAGTGTCTAAAAACATCCTGCAAAGGTGTGAAAACTAATGTTAACACAATTAAACCTCAAACACATTACACAAAAGAGCAATTAAATGCTCTGGACATGGTGACCTCTGGCTCCACGCACATTAGCATTTTTTTTTAGCTCAAAAACACTGGTAATAATGTTTTCTAGTAGTGTTTTAGTGGTGTTCAGAGGCCTTTAGGAGTGTTAGCTTTTTATTAGCGTTTTACAGTACAAGGAAAGGAATAAAAAAAAACGCTGTTAGGAGCATTTTAATAGCGTTTAGGAGCATTTAGTGTTTTTTTCAGATGGAAATCCATAAAAACTTTACAAAAACTATTTTTTTTCTGCTTCTAGATGCTGAAGCTCAAAAAATGCTAATAACCTGGCCCTAAGGTAGTGTGCATGGACACAAAGGAGAATACTATTGAACTTCTAGGAGCAGAAAAATGCTAATGTGCATGGAGCCTTAGAGATGTTAATTGTACCTAAAGGCAGGTTCACAGGACCAGAAAATCAAGTGAAAAATTCCACTTTCTAAGGGATCTCAGGATAATCTGATTGTTAGTACACAGCTTTCCTGTGAAAATTATTTGAAGGGGTGAAAATGTGTTTTCATACGATTTTTGTTTAATCAGTACAGTTTCTGTCCGAAAATACAAGACAAATACAATACAATTCATTGCATCACTTCTGAATTTTTATTCTGTCGTATGAGAATTTGTGTAGCTTTAGTAACTTCACTTTCAATATGAGACTAGCATGCAAAAAAAACTGATGATCATTTGTCCGATATTCTCATCGTGTGTACGGGGCAGGGGCGGACTGACCATTTGGAAACTCGGGCACTGCCCGAGGGCCCGGGGTCAGTAGGGGGCCCCATGAGATGCCCCTGGTACCTTTTTCATAGACTTTTTTGAGTTTGGGCAAGGACACAGGGGCCCCATGATCTCCTATTGCCCGGGGGCCCCATGAGTTGTCAGTCCGCCCCTGGTACGGGGCCTACGAAGTGCCCTAAAAGATGTCCACTTTGTCTGGAATTCCAGTGAATAATTGCACAGACTGGTATGTGAGTGTGCCTAGGCAGTCCTTGTCCACAGCCCCATAGCTGAATTTCTGTAGTGTGTGACTGTTAACCCTTCATGCCTAAGGGTAAAACAAATCTAAATGCCTAAGCACAATTTTGCAACGTTGACATGTGATAGTAAAACCGTACATATCACCACAACTACTTTGTACATCCGGGTGGATTATACCTTGATTTTTTCAGGACAAAATGGGCTTTCATTTGGTGGTAAATGGTAATGGATATCTCCTGATTTTTTTTATTATCAAAGGAAAACTGGCCCAAAATAGTAAAAAAAAAATATTATTTTTTTTATTTAGCTGTGTGTTTCTTTTTACAACCATAATCTACCATCAAAGCACACCACAAAATAAATTCTCCAGCTCTTGATGATCGCAGCAATACCCTATATGTGTGTGTTATTTGTTGTTTGTACCCGTAGTACAGCCCAGAAACAATAGTGAGCATTTTGTTTTTGTCTTTTTTTTTTACCTAAAACACACTGACACTGACATTTACACTCACTGACACCAATTTTTTTTTAAATCCTGACCTTTGACCCTGACCTTTGACCTTGACCATTGACCCAGACCTTGACCTAAACACTAACCCTGGCACTGAACTAGATCAAACCTTGATCTAGGTATTTTTCTTTATTTTTTCTTTTATTTTTTAATATTTATTTCTTTTTATTTTTTTTAACAAACATTTTTTTTCTCTCTATGCCAGGAGTTAGAGAGATACAATGTATCTCTTTTCTCCATTTATACAGAGAGAAAAAAAAACAAGGCGGCTGGGCTGCACATTGATTGATCACTGTGATAGCCAATCAGAGGCTATCACAGCAATCATGTGACCCGGGACCGGGAGTCCCGAGTCCCGATTGTTCGAACGGGACCTGGTGCTCTCAGAGACACCGCGGTCTCAGTGCTGGGAGCGCGGCAAACGGCGCACTCCCAGCACAAAGACAGGTATGCAAATATGCGGCCCCACAGAAAAAAGCCTAGTTCCGTGAGGCCACATATTTGTGTGACGTCGGCGGGAAGGGGTTAAGCTGGCCATACATGGATAGAAAATCATTAAAAAAAAAACTTTCATTTTTGATGAAGATCTGTCACACACCTGTGTGGAAACGCCATCATTGTAGCAAACCCACTTGTCAACATATTATTCATATTATTATTTCAGGTACTTATATAGCGCCATCAATTTACGCAGCACTTTACATATATATTGTACATTCACATCAGTCCCTAACCCTCAAGGGGCGTACAATCTAAGATCCCTAACTCACATTCATACATACACATACTAGGGAAAATTTAGACAGGAGCCAATTCACCTACCAGCATGTCTTTGGAGTCATTGTTAATGACATAAATGGTACATTTTTTGTCAATCAATCAATCAATCAATCAACCACATGATCAGCGAAAATGATGCAATAATTTTTTTCTTTATGAACCCTCCAACTCTCAAAGTGTCTCTCTGCCCAGGTGACAATCAGTATCTAGTCCCACAATATACATGACAAACTTCCTTGTCCCTAGACATCCTTGTGTCTGGTCTTGCAATGCAGGGACAATGGTTTCAGGTTTTACTTTATATTTTCTTCTAATACACATTTTGGAGGGCACACTGGGTAACAACTGCAATAATTTCCCTCTATGACCAAAAGTTTTGTTGCTTTTACTTCTGGGGTAACATTTTCACACGCACATGCGCTCTACATTTTTCGAACTGTTTACGATAGATTCCACTACTAATGTTTAGAAAATCATGCAGCAAAATTTCCGATGTGATGATTCGTATTTTTTTTGGAATAAAACTTTGCATTTTTGAGAATTGAAACGATCCCACTAACATTTCAAAAGTTGAGCGAACAAGAGTATTGAACATTTTTGAACAATTTTCTATCCAGCTTTAGGCCTCATGCACACTGGCAATAAAAAATGCTGCTTCTAAGGGCCTTTGGTGGGGGTTTTTTTCTGCTTCTAAAAGCCCCTCGATGTCCATGCAACCATAGGCATTTAGCAGCAGAAGTGTTTAAAGGCAGAAAAAAAAACATCACTTATGCATTCAAGAAACTTGCCTAAGCTCTTTTAAACAAGTGTAAACTCTAGGTGCATTTCGCACTAGAGCAGGGGCATCAAACTGGCAGCCCTCCAGCTGTTGCGAAACTACAAGTCCCATCATGTCTCTGCCTTTGGGAGTCATGCTTGTAACTGTCAGTCTTGCAATGCCTCATGGGACTTGTAGTTTGGCAACAACTGGAGGGCCGCCAGTTTGACCCCGGTGCACTAGAGCATTAATTTATATTAATGGCCAGAAAAAATGAGTATTCTGGCTAATTAAATGAATGAACGGCTTATTAAATGAATGAAATGCTTGACGTGTCTGAACATGCCTAAACGTGCTTAAACATGGTTGAAAAACATGGCTTTGGACTAGGAGAAAGTCATTTAGAAGAGCTGGGTATGAGGCCTTATCCTGGCCATACACTAGTAGATTTTCTACATTTTTCTGAAAATTCTCTGTACATTTGATGACTTGATGAATGTCATTCAAATGCACTTTAAAATGTCACTAATCCAAAGTCAGCAAGAGGGGCTCCTGATCATTGGATGTGTAGGTACTGGAAGACTTTCCTAGGTTAGGCGCTGTGAACACAAGTCTGATCAGACCCTAGTATGTGTTTGTATGAATGTAAGTTAAGGACCTTAGATTGTACACCCCTTGAGGGTTAGGGACTGATGTGAATGTACAATATAAATGTAAAGCGCTGCGTAAATTGACGGCGCTATATAAGTACCTTAAATAAATAAATAAATCAGGGGGCAGGTATATACACTATATTGCCAAAAGTATTGGGCCAGCCCTCCAAATCATTGGATTCAGGTGTTCCAATCACCTCCATGGTCACAGGTGTATAAAATCATCACCTAGGCATGCAGACTGCTTCTACAAACATTGGTGAAAGAATGGGTCGCTCTCAGGAGCTCAGTGACTCCAAGCGTGGTCCCGTGATAGGTGGTCACCTGTGTAATAAGTCCATCCGTGATTTCCTGGCTACTAAATATTATACGCTCAACTGTTAGTGGGATTATAACAAAGTGGAAGCAACTGGGAACAAGATCAACTCAGCCATGAAGTGGTAGGGGACATAAAATGACAGAGCAGGGTCAGGGCATTTTCTCTAAAAAGGTGGGCTAACACTTTAACCCCCTGCCTACTAATTCCCTTGGCCACCACATGCCATTAATAGGTCTGTGTGGAATCTGAATGGGACCTTTTCATGTCAATAGCTGAGCACATGTCACACCCTTGGCTCCAACATTGTGATGGGAACTTGCATAAGAAAGGAAGCTTCATCTCCATCTACCACAAGAACTTTCCACTGTTCATTGTCTTGCTTACCTACATCTCTCTCCTCTGATAGTAACACTAAACCCACAACAATATAACCCCCTGTAAAGCTGGCCATACAAGAGCAGAATTTTGTTCAAAAACTTTCATGTTTGGAACAACTGCGTACATTTTGAAGGCTTGCATCTAAACTGCCCTGCCTCTGCGCTCACTTTTTAGAGAGTTTTGACAAGCAGTGAGGAGGCAAGGTAACGCCTCATCAGCACCTGTTTTAACCCCATAATTGATTCATCGACTTCCCACAATAAATAATTAACATCAACTTCCCACAATAAATAATTAGCATCAACTTTCCACAATTAAAAAATTAACATCAACTTCCCACAATGCATGTGGTGGCAGGGCGTTTGTGGTGCTTCCCCATTCACCTAAGTGGGTCGCATTTGGTGGGCTTACTGCCCACTGAATGCAACAGGCAGGGCTGCTGTTAGAAACCAGAGGACCCCATACAGCCAACCTGACAGGGCCCCCAAATAAGCACAGTTTACTATGCTTCAGTTATTAACGTGCATAGTAATTGATCAGTAATGATCACTAATTGTGTTCATTCAGAAAAAGGAAGGGACTGGTAAATGTGACATATTTACTTGACCCTTCCCCCACTCTCTATTCTGAAGGCTCCTGTTGTGTGCTGGCAGCTGCCAGTGGGAAGGAGAGGAAGGAAGCCAGCAGCACTTTGGGGATAGGGGACACACAGGAGGAAACGTATGGTGCATAGGGAGGGTGATGGGTTATGAGTGCGGCTGGAAAGCAATTACTGAAGCTGAAAGCCAGCGGGATGCAGAGGAAATGAAGGAAGCTTTCAGTTGCTGCAGAGAGAGCCATACAGGGGATCGGTTCCAGTAATTGCCCCTCCCCCCCCCCCCACTGCCTTGCTGATCACCCTCCCTGCCCACATACGATACATCCAGCCTCCTGGGCCCCCCCCCCTTGCTGGCCTGGGCCCCATAAAGGAGGGCCGGTGGTACCCCCTTATCCACGGCCCTGGCAACAGGAGTGATAGTTTTTGGCACGGGAGTGAAGCAAGGCATTCCAACTGCAGCATGTAAACACGCCTATGTGCTGCCTTTACAGCTTCAGGGGGGCATTAAAAACACAGATCAACCATGCATTTTTAACCCCCCCCCCCCCCAGACTCTATACAAGCCCAAATGGTTCATGGGACCGAAGAAACACCAATTTTCAATCATAGTGATGCAAATGTTCCAAAGCGTAGGATGGAAAATATTTCTCAACCAAACAGAATTCTAAATTTTATAACATTTGAAATTTTATTTCAAAATTTCCTTTGCGAATGTCTCAGCAAAGTCACAGATAATCCCCTGTAATGTTTGTAATATGTGTAATGTCAGGATTTTTTTGTTGCTTTTTGCAGGATTAATGTAACATTCCATCCTAAGAGAAAATAGCCGTGAGAACATTTAACCAGAAGAGGAAAAGAACATTCGACCAATAAGGAAATTGCCTAAAGCTTCCCATATGTTATGCAATTTTTGTATTCAATTTCCGTTAGATTTATCCCCAACTATGTAGTGTAAGGGTCTGCCTGACTGCATACAAATTGAAAGTGTTTAGGTTTGACGTCATATTATATGCTTTTGGTAAATCTAAAGAAAAATTGTATAATGTATGGCCAGCCTAACACTATAGGCCGAGCACATTCAACCAGAAAAGGAAATGATATGATGGAGTTCCTTGCACTGTGTACAAAGTGAATGGAGATTCCTGTGCTCACCACTGACTGTATTGACTCAGTTAGGGCTCCTTCACACTTGACTTTATTTCTAACTCTTGCCAAAAGCCTCTATAGCATTTGACAGCCATTTGGGAAGTGTTTTTTAATGCTCCTCAAAGGCTCACCAAACGCCCTATGTGAGGTTTTGAGGTGGTTGATAGGCGTTTGCCAAGTGTTAAAACCGCACCACAAATGCCTATAATGAAGTTAAATGGTATTAACGCTCAAAAAGAAGAAGTGACAGGAAATCCTTCCAAATCCCTCCAGGTCTGTGTGTTGGTGCATGTGCCTGTTTTTTTCATTTTTCTTTTTCCATATATATATTTGATGCCCGTTTGTGATACACTTGTACCACTTTTGTTCTATTGTTCTATGAAAAAAAATGTTTTTAATAACGTTAGACTGAACACAAATCTATTCAAGGTCACCAGAATGAGTGTCCCCTTTCGAAGATGAATGAAGTCCCCCTTCCCCTCTATTACTGTTCTGGTGTCAACCAAAAATTTGGGGTTTTCTTTTACTTATGATGATAATGGTAAACAGAACAAATAGAGAGGGAGGATGTCCTTAAAGGGGGCACAGACAGCAATAAACACTGACAGGGGTTCTAGTCCATCTCCGCTCTATCCAAAAAAAAAAAAAAAAAAGCATGTCTTTAGTTATTCTTTAAATATTAATAATGTGCTTCATTGTCCAAGCCCCTTCTTCAGTGATACAGGTTTCTGATGCCCAATATGTGCTCTTTGAAGTCCACAATGGAAGAAATGTATTGAGCTGCCTCCACAAAGCATGAGGCAGAGCGGAACAGTTATCACAAAAGTATCCAGACTGGGAAGACCATCCAACACTCCAGACTGTCACCACATATACTTACCTCCAGTGCTAGGACTTGCTGACATATCGGCTTTGCATACGGTAGTCACCACCATTTCCCAACCTAATACTTTAGTTGGCACATAACAGCCTGCTTTCAGCTAATGACTTTTTTACGTATGATTTAATAGCAATTAGCTAGAAACAGACTTACTGTATATGTATATGGAGTGCCAGCTGTAGCTCTAAATTGGCATCTGAGCCCCACAAACCCCCAAAAAACGTTATTGAGATCATTTTTAATATTCAAAGTAAACTCCCCTATCCGTCCATGTCTCCGTGCTTTATATTGCTGAGAAATTACTTTGAAAAACACCCCCTACAGTGGCGGACTGACAACTCATGGGGCCCCCGGGCAATAGGGGATCATGGGGCCCCTGTGTCCTTGCCCAAACTCAAAAAAGCCTATGAAAAAGGTACCAGGGGCATCTCATGGGGCCCCTACTGATCCAGGGCCCTCGGGCAGTGCCCAAGTTTCCAAATGGTCAGTCCACCCCTGACCCCCTATCATTTCTAGCTGTGGGCATCTTGAGTAAGGGCAGATGACTCATGCAGCATTTACTTCATGGAATTCATCTGCCCTTAGCTCAGGTGTGCAGGCAGGAGGATGTGCCTAGCTGAGAAAGCCCCTCCTCCCAGGGCCGGATCTAGCCTGTCTGATATGGGGTGCAGTTAAAAAGTCAGGGGGGCATTATGTCAACACGCTATTATTTTATTCTCTCCTCACCTCTCCTCTCCTCTCTACTCTTAGTTCCCTACATCTCCGTGTGGCTGCTGAAAAGAACAAGTGTGAGACCAGTGTTTCTCTTTTTTTTATAATTTAAATATTTATTAATTTTTCATTTTAATTACATTTCATCATCACAATATAAATATATATATATAAAAATATATTCTATAATATTATATTATCCAACATTTCTACTTTATATACTCTATGCTACATTTCCCTCCCACCTCCACCCCCCACCCCATATCCCCTCTGCCTATTCTACCTTTTCTCTGTGTCTTCTTATATCAGCAAGTGAAATTTTTCTGTTGTTTTCTTTATTCTTTCCTATACTTCATATATAATGTAGCTTACCTGAGACCAGTGTTTCTCAATGTTGTTTTTTAGTCTTGGCACCCTTTAAAAGTATGCAAAAGCCCAAGGCACCCCAGTCCTAAACAGTATTAATTGGCCTGAAGGACACTGGCACCTGCACTGGATGATGATGATGATGATGGCACCCCTGGAGTTGCCCCTTCAAATTAGATTCCACCCCTCACTTCAGAGTTAGCCCGCTTTACATCACAGCCCTACTCCTTCCCACACCCCCCCATTGCCTTCTTCAAATCCAAGTTGCCAATCCCTTTAGAAGCCTCCCTTGCCATTGGAGTCCCCCCATCATAACAGAGTCCCTTCATCACAACAGAGTGTCCTCTGATCACAACAGAGTGCCCCCCACTACAAGAAAAGTCCCCCCTTCCTCTTCACAGCATAGTCCCTCCTTCACAAAGAGCAAAAAATGATACCGTGCATCCTGGTCTGCCCTCCTGCACCATGGAAACATATGATGCGGTAGAATGGTACAAGGCACAGTGTAGCCATGCCACCTTGGAATGCTGAGGCTGTGCACTGCCACCCCCCCAGCCCCTCTACTTCCTGATACCAATGTCACTGTTCCTGGGGGGGAACCACTTAAATCTGGGGGGAAGGAGCAAAGCCCACCCCAGCACCCCAGTAGATCCGGCCCTACCTTCTCCCCACTTGAAGACTCCTGGGATGTATGACATCATTTTGGCCTCAGACAGAAACCAGGAAGTAACTGAAGAAATGTTAAAAAAAAAGTTTAGAACGTGTAAATATAATATACTTTCCTATCTATTTACTAATACTAGCAGCATAAAGATTAACAATAGTCAATTGAGAGAGTGAAGTTCCACGTTAAATGTTTCTGTAGTAATACATATGTATGGATAAGGCCTACAGTCATCTTTCAAGGATGGGAATAAA